AGTGCAATAGATTATAGCAAATAAAAATTGCCGAAATATTTGAAATCGTACTTGGTATGTTACTTATATTGATTCAATAAACTGTGCACATTCTCAGACATGTTCAACTTCTATTATCACGTAACTCTTATTTTCAATAGATTTCGGTTTAGTTTTGAAAAAGAAAATCTGTCTAGCCAACGAATTTCTTTTATTACTCAGTCTCGCCGAGTTATCGGATGGATAAAACATATCATTTTTTATTTCTTTTTTTTTCATTAGCATCGACATTTTTCTGAAGGCAAATGACTTATGTTTAGTCATTTTTCGTCAGGAGAAACGAAAGGAGAAATTGTTTTTCAATTTTTCCCACATCAGTCCAAATACAGAATAATACCAAAAAAAACGGAATGTACCAAAGTTTTTAGTTCTATTCAAATTTTTTAACTCTCCACACTCAATCTCTTCAAAGTGATTCTTAGTTTAAGACATTCTAAACGGTTATTGCGATTTTCATTATATTTACCTTCAATGTCATATCTAGATCCATTAGTAAAAATATTTGTTTTATTAATTTTGTAAATGCTTTTGTTAGCTAAAATCGCGTGTCTTTTGTTTTGCGTAAATAGAAAAATACAATACAACTGGTGACTTTGACCGACTTTTGACAGTTTTGAAGGCAATTTCTTATGCTTCAGACTCAGCGTGTAATTGAATTTCAAGTATAAAATCAAAGTGTTGACCTTCCACAATGTGAAATCTATATTGAGCTTTTAAACAAAATCAATAAGATCTTTTCATTCTTTTAAGAAAAGTCAGTGCTGACGGAGTATATCTTTTTATTGCTTTCAATAGGACATAATGATTCAATCAAACGGTGGAACGCTAAAAAATCGACTTTGTATCGCGTTTGTAATTGCGTATACGGTTGGATTGTGCATTGCAGAGGGTAAAACTGGTTCACCAATTACTCTTGATGATGTTTTGGATGGAACATATTATGCACGACGTAACAATGCAACGTTCATTTCGGACACGCTACTATACTATCGTGATTCTTCCGTGAGAATTCATCTAATTTATTTATTACTACCCAACAATTAACTTTTTTTTTTTCAATTTACAGCGTAATATCGTGACCTTTGATTTGAAAACAAATAAAACGAAAATATTGGCAGAAGCACATATACCTGTAAGTTTGACCATTTTTGTACGTTTTCCAACGAAATGAACACAATTTTAAAAATAGAATCCTTGCCATTTAGGCTATTGCTTCGTCTTTTTCACAACAAATTTCGCCGGATCATCGATATTTATTGTTGGGAAAAGACTACCAGAAGGTAAATAACCTGCATGCATTTCAAATTGAGCAAAGTCACAGAATTCGGTTTTAATTTCATTAGGTTTTCCGTCACAGCGCCTTGGCACGTTACGACATACTAGATTTGAAGACAAAAAAGTTATATAAGCTATCTAATGTAAGTGAAAATAAAAGTGACATTTTGTTAGATTAAAATTAAAACAATGAAAAGTTATTAAAATTTGTATAATTTGTTGGTAATATAGGAATTATTATCTCTGGCCAAATGGGGCCCACTTGATAACAGTATTCTATACATTAAAGCCAATAACATTTACTATAAGTCAAGTGTAACAAAACCAGCTGTCCAGATAACAAACAATGGTAATGCGAGCGTTTATAATGGCATTTGTGATTGGGTTTATGAAGAAGAGGTCTTTCAAACGAAATCAGCTGCATGGATATCGCCTGATAATAAAAAACTAGCTTATATCGAATTTAATGACGTTCCTGTCAATCACATTGCCATTCCAATGTACGGACAGCCTGGCTCTGAGGATGATCAATATCCGGGTGTATTGGATTTTCCCTATCCGAAAACGTTAGTTATTTTAAGTTAAATCACTGCAATTCTAGATCAGTTATACAATTCTCTTTATTTTTAACGAAAAGTGGAACGAAAAATCCATTGGTCAAGTTATTTTTGGTTGAATTGACAGCATTATTACCGAACAAAATAGTGAAAAAAATTCAAGTTCCAGAACCAAAGGAATTGAATAAAAAACAGCACATCATATCAGTAGTCTCTTGGGCCAATAACGATACTTTGCTTTTGACCTGGATGAATCGTGTACAAAATCGCGCCATTGTAGAAGCTTGCCAAGGAAAGACGTGTCATAAGGTATTTTTTTTTAATTTGAACATTCATTGTGGAATTGGTTTAAAATTATTCGTAATTTTATAATAGGTTTTAGATTTATCCAGTTCAACGGGATGGGTTGATTTCTTCAAGCCACCAACATTCAATAAAGATGGCTCACAATTTGTTTACATTATGCCACAATTCCAAAGAGGCTCAAACGATTCCTTTAACCACTTGACCTTAGTTTCAATGAATACCGGAAAGCAAACCGTTCTAACATCTGGAAATTATGCTGTTCTAGAAGTGTTACAATGGAATGAAGACACCAATACAATTTTTTATGCTGCAAATCATGAAAATGCTTCCTATTCAAAGCACATTTGGTCGGTTCAAGTCACGAATCCAAGCTCAAGACAATGTTTGACATGCAATATTACACAGGATGGTGTGCGCCAAACATACTTTAGCGCTTCAATCAGTCCAAATGGTAAACACACTATGATCACCAATGAAGGACCTTCAATTCCAAACACAGATATATTTGACATCGTAGAATCGTCTCAGAATTCTCGTAAGCACATTATTATTCATTTTTATCAATATAATAAATTTAAATTGAATGGTATTCTTTTAGTTAAACTGCAATTAGTTCAAAACTGGGAAAACAATAAAAAATTACATTCTTCAATGGATAAAGTTTCAAATCCAATCATAAAATATTATGAAATACCATTGAAAGATGGCTTTGATGCGGTTGTTAAACTATTTTTGCCACCAAATGTAGACACAAGTGGCAAAACCAAGTATCCAATGCTAATTGATGTATATGCTGGTCCCGGATCATTCAAATCTGCAGATAAATGGGGTGTTGATTTCAACTCGTACTTAACTACTAGCCAGGAAATTATTGTGGTTCAAATAAATGGCCGTGGTTCAGGACTACGTAGCGAAAAACTATTGCATTCAATTTATCGCGCATTGGGAACAGTTGAAATAGAAGATCAAATTCAAACGGCAAAGTATGTATTACATGTTTCATAAAAACGAAATATCTTCCTTCATTTTTGTTTTATTTTGCACAGGAAACTAACAAAACTCTTCCCATTCATTGACGCAACGAATGTGGCAATGTAAGAAATATTGAAATTTATTCTATTTTCTATCCGTTTGTTATACGATTTTTGTTATTTTTTTAATCAGTTGGGGCTGGAGTTATGGTGGATTTGCGGCCGGAATGGCCTTAGCACAAGATGACTCGCATGTATTGAAATGCGCTGCTTCCGTTGCACCTGTAACCGATTGGCTGTATTACGACTCAATTTACACTGAAAGATACATGAGTCTGCCGTACAAAGAAGATAATGCACAAGGTTATGAAAGAGCTCAACTCAGTACAATGGCCGATGAGTTCAAGAACAAAACTTATCTTCTTGTTCATGGCACTTTTGACGATAATGTGCATTATCAACAATCTATGGCTTTAGCACGCACACTTGAACTAAACGACATTCCATTCCAACAAATTGTAAGATAAAAAAAAAACTTTGACATTTATGGTATTCATTTATTTATTAAAATTTACATTCTTGTTACAGACCTACCCAGATGAAGATCATTCACTAATGAAAGTTAGAAGACATTTATATCATGCACTAGATAGATTTTTTGCAAATTGTCTCATATCTAAGTAAAAACTCATTCTAAATAATGAAGTCTATGTTTTTCATTTCATTTGTTTAGATATTAATTATTTCTTGGTGTTTTTTAAATAAATATTTTTAACGTGTAATATGTTTGTTTATCATTCATTATGATTGTCTTTGATTAATTTCAATTCATTTAGGTACAAATGTTTTTAGTCTATCATTCTACATACTTTTAATGAGAGACATTGAAACTTAAACGTAGTAAAAATATGTGCTCATAAATTGGTGAAATTTTATTAATAGTCGAATTGTCGAAATGTCATAAAATATGCAAATCCACCGTTGACAAGCTAAATGCAAATTATAGAAAAAAAAAATTATCAATTAGAAAGGAATTCTGGATAAATGCAAAAAAACATACATCATCAAATGTTTCGCGTGTGTATTCAACATTTGCAAAACCAGTAATTACAGCCGGCATTTGAGTATTATTAATCAGAGTTGGAAACATGCACTGTATGTTTGGCGGAAAGGAATGCCAATCGGTTTGATAGACAACTTCATTGATCTCTTCAAAGCGGGTCGACACCATTTGTCCATACTCACACAGTAGAAACATCGACGCGAATGACCAAAAGACTAGTGTCACCGGACGAAGTAGACCTCCGTAGCCTTCCGTTTCTGCGCGTGCCTGAATGAAAAATTAAAAAGAAAAATGAAATAAATGCAAAGAATATGTAACAATTTGAAGAAACCGTAAAATACCAATTGAATTTGAATTATTAACAGCAAAGAGCATACTGTAAATAACCCCCACAGAATTCCAGAAGTTATGACCAGTGAATAAATATCCGAAAATGTTCCGACATATCTGGAGGGAAAAAAAAATCTAAATACTTTTTTTGATATTTTTCAAGAACTATTGAAACCAACTCTTTTATATCTGCATGTAGTTGAATAAAGTCTCCCAGTCTTTTCATGATTTCAGTTTCACTGTTTTCGTTTTTATTCGATTCGTTGATAGTATGCATTTCCTGTTCCATGTCTCTTGTAAAAGCCAACATGAACTCACACACACCCATGAAGTAGCATAGGTTTACGATGACGGATTGAAGTACAAAGTAATGTGACACTGATTTGTATGGTAAAGGCAATCGCATATCCTATCATGATGGAATCAGTATTTTAATTAATGTGATTCTTTGTGCTTTAGCTATGTTTCATGATGAATGGACATTTTACCATATGGATTTCTCCACTCAAATGGCATCCTTCAATAGAAATAATATTAGAATATGTGCCTCAAATATTTCGGTTCTCCAAACTCACCAGATTGGGAATGGCAACACAAACGATTCATTGACTAAATCGGTGGTAAAAAAACGAATGTAACTTATTACAGCGTTGGACAATAATAGGCCCGGAATTGATGCTTGAACGACAGCTAGGTATATCCACTTTGTTCGAGTTTCTATCTTTGCGTTGACGTCTTCGTAAATTTTCTTTGACACTGGATTGTCCAATCCTAAAGTAACCGTACAAAGAATTGTTCACAAAAGTAATCAAACTTTTTTGTTCGGCAGCTCATAAACTCACTTCTCGTGATTATTGATTCAAAATCGTCGATTAACTCGTATAATCCAGGTATCTTCATAACCATGAACACAAAAATCGCAAAGTCGCACATTGATGTTGACGAAACTTGGAAAGAATCAGAGTATTCGATCAGAGATTTCGCTTCGGCCCATAGAAAATTTATCGATAAAACCATGTATTGGAAAAGAATATAAATAATCACACTATTTTTTAAATTAAAGCATTTTTCCTCGTCCGTTTCGGATCGAACTAGCCCGTTGAATTCGAAATGTCCCAGAATTCGATTGAAAATTTTCATTGTAATAGTAGTAGTCAAAGTGAGTATTTAAAAGATTCAATTGTTTTGAATTGGCTGGGAAACCGTGCTATAGACTTCACGCACTACTGAGAACTGCAGTGAAAAATTTCAAAATCATCCTTTTATAGCAGATAAGGGAGTAGGATTTTTCAAGGATACATATTCTTTGTAAACAATTACAACTGAAAAATCGAACAGTTTTTATATTTTAATTCAAAATAAGGCTATTATATGAAATTGGACAATTATTCAAGTTGCAGCTACCATATATAATCATTTTACCGTTAAACGGTTATGCATTGCAATAATTTAGTTAAAAAAAATACAAGAGAATATATGGTTTATACCTTTTGTGAGACTTAAAACGTAGTTTTACAACGTCGTGACATCTGACGTATTTTCTCTTGTTATACAGATCGAGTGTTTTTAAACACTTGCTGTAATTAAACCATTCAATAGCTTATTCAAATATTTAAATTACAATACTACTGAATGGGGTAGAATAAAAACTACTTTTCGAAAAATTGCTATTTTAAAACGAAACCTAAAAAAAATTTCAATAAAAAGTGAATCAATTTTTTTTTGTCCAATTGAAGTGAATCAAGAAAATTTTGTTAAATAAAAGTGAACCAAAAAACAAATTTCACTCGGTTTTTTCAGTGTAAAATACACTAAAATGAATTTTTTTTTGGGTTCACTTTTATTGAACAAATTTTTTTTGGTTCACTTCAATTGGACGAAAAAAAAATGATTCACTTTTCATTGAAAGTTTTTTTTTGGTTTCGTGTTTAAACATTTTTCGAGAAGTAGTTTTTATTCTACCCCATTCTACTGTATCTGCGTTGTTTTCAAAAAAAAAAAATTACAAAACACATGGTTAATATTACCTGTGAGCGTACGAAATATTTATTCATTTTAGTTATGAGGGTAAATCATTTACTTGCCTTCCAATTACATATGTTTTACGATACATTTTTTTATGTGTTTTTTTTTTGTTTTGTGTGTTTTACTTTTGTAACCTTAGACCTTTTGATTAGCATTGACGTGTCAAAGAATCGCAAACAAAACTTTAGAAAAAAAATCTCTCGTGTGTGAGACATTATTTTCTCACTGACTATCTAGTCTAGCCATCTGCTTCCAATTGAGAAAAAAAAACGTTGGAATTGATGATTTCCGCGAAAACCGTTATTGGCTGAAACACACGCTCATAAATATAAAATATTGATTAATATTTCTTACAAATGTAAAATTGAAACTCATATTTCCATGTTAAATGTCACTTCAGGTGTTTATTGTGTCTTTGGTTTGTTCTTTTATGCTCATTGCTTGATACATTCATTTGTAATTTTTTTTTTTTTTGGTTGTTGTTTTGTTTACAATTTTAGCTACAAACACTTGTTTTAATTCAAATAAAATCAAATTCTACTACAACATTTATGTTATTACAATGCGTACGCAAATTGATGACTGCAAAATATGCAATTAACAAATTGGAACCAAAAGTTAATTTATTCTTCAGTACAGAATTTGAAAGCAGGAAAAAGGCTTCATCAATTTATTTAATGCAAAAAATCAAGTCAACGAAAGAAAAGCGCATTGTTTAGATCATATGCAGAGATGGCTTTGCTCAGAGATTTTTTTATCAATTTCACTTAAAATAAATATATCGATTAAAAGCTAAAAAATAAAATAAAAATATTCACGCATTTTAAAAACAGCATTTCAATGGAATTTCATTTTGTCTATCACGTCAAACTAAAATTATAAAGTAAAAAAAAACACTCAAAATAACAAACAAACTTTCAGTAAAATAAAATAGTAAAAATAAAATAAATATCCATTTTTTTGTTCACAGATTATTAGAGAAAATAATATCTCATGCAGTATTAGTCTCTACTCCTTTTCCATTTATAGAACAACGATTGATACAAATACAATCGATCGTTGTGTGGTTTTCTACGAAAAAAATATTTTTTTTTTTAATAATAATATATGATTTGATATAGATCTCATTTTTCTCATTCAACATTTTGCTTGCTCGATTCTCTTCAGGCTATAAATTATTGCATTTCGGTCCACTAAAATAATTTTTATCTGTTGTTGCTGAATTTACACGAACTTGCTCTAATTTTCTAATCTACATATTCTATAATATTAGTTATTTATGAATGTTTTTTTTTTTGTGTTTGTGTATATATATAACTGTTCCAATAAATATGAATTTGTAAGTTAAATGATGTTGTTGTTGTTTTTTCCACGTATGTGTAAGGATGATGTTTTTTTTTATAATTCCTACATTTTCGTAACATTCTTATTGTGAATCGACTGAATTTTGCCTCAGTGTTGCATGGCATGTCTGGCAAACGCGAACCGGTTTCAATATACGTAAACGTGATATTTCCGATTCAAAGCGACTGCATTTATTACAAAATACTTGTCCACAATTTCTGCAATGATGTTTCCGTTCATACAATGAGAATCTGAAATTAATTTTCGAAAAATATATTGATTAAATAACTGAAATGATAATCGATGCATTTCAAATATAGATGCAGTTTTTCTTACCTAACATGACAGTTCACGCATTGATCGGCACCTTCATCTTTTAACCAATGATCTGCCATACCACGATTCGGCAACTCCGTTACACTCCATGAGAACACCCGACCTCTGGCGTCGCCAACATACAATGTTTTATGATCTTTTGATACAGCCAGTGCCGTTATACTTGCTGGTTCTGTATTATCTTTGCGATCATATGCCGTGTGCATTGTTAATTTTGAACGAAATACTAATTGACGATGCCACATAAAACCTGATGAAAATAAATACAGAATAATATATGTATTACTTTTGAAAATTAAAACATAAAGAAAAAAAAATGATGAAAATGTTACCTTCACGCAGCATGTTTGCGTTGTTCTTCCTTCGAGCGTATTCGTTTTCAACCACGACAAATGAATCAATGATGCTCGTCTCCGATTTACTTGGTCGAATACCTTTCGTACTGCTAGGTGCTTCATCTGCAGTTGTTGTTTTTACATCGCTGCCAACAGTGTTTGTGTCTTGATTTCTAGACGGCTCATCGATCATTGGTTCACGTTTCAACTCGTGTAAAGATTTTGCACTTGTCAAACTGCCACGTTTGCTCATATTGGCTATTGGTACATCCAAAATCTCCTTTCGTATTGTCTTTGTTGTATCGTCCGTTTCGATTGATCTACCACGATCAATTAATTCTGGTTGAGCATTTTTCGTGTTATCACACGCTTCAGATATACTACTTTCCGAACCAGACTTCACTAAAGCTATAAAACACAACGGAAAATTCAATGAAAACATGATCGATTTATATTTGAAGTAAATCTATCGCATACCTTCTTCTTGTGTGATACTGATTTGTTTAATCAAATCGACCTTCGCTATTTCTACAGATGTATTAATCGCACTTTCATCAAGCGATGATTTATTGGAGCTGTCATTATTGTCGTTGTCTTTCGTATCAAACGTTTCATTTGCATCGTCCTTTTCAATCGGCTTTTGTACATATTCAATTGACCAGCAACGTACGACACCGTCAGTTGATCCAGTAATTACAACATTTTGCTGATCCCATTCACGTGCCGTTGAAAATGTTACGCACAATATTTGCTGCATTCGATCAGCACTGCCGATGCTTGTATTTACGGTGGCCAATGGATCACCATTAACCGACCAAATGTGTAGCCAAGTCGCTGAACACGTTGCAATGTCACCAGTCAAATCGTTAATGCTATACAATAATTAAAACAGACAATTTGTCAATATATTGATGAGAGAAAGAGAAAGTTATGTATTTGTACCTGACGGCCGCAACAAGTCCAACGTGATCGCTTAATTGACGTACAAATGTGAATCTCGACATATCCCATACAATAGCTGTTCCATCTCTCGAACCGGACACAATCATATTGTATGGTGTACTTGCTGCCAAACAAGTCACAGCATCGATGTGACCATGCAGCGAATGTTTAACCGTCAATGATTTTCGACGACTATCAAATTCCCACACAGTCACCACCGAACTCGTGCCGGCCGTTACAATTGTTCTTGCATTTGGACACGCGCACGCCAATATTTCGCCCGAGTTTTGAGCCGATGCTTCACACACAAACAGTGCACGATCCGAATCATACATCCCGATACGCAGAGAATGGTCGGCAAAACCCCATGCAATATACCGTGAAAATGTTGGCGCCATTAACACTTTATTTTGTTCAACCGCCAAAACCGTTTTATCGGGATGAATTATTTGACCCACTGGCCCTTTCAGTTCTTTGATTGGTTGCAAACTCTGGAAAAGAATGTAAATTATGCATTTCGACGTACTAAAAACAATTTTAACGATAAAAACATACCGGTTTCAAACTGTCCAAATTATTGAAAAATAATTTGTCATTCTGTGCAACTGTCGATGATAACAGGGGATTGGCGTCAATGATGGATGTGCGACTCGACGACATTTTCTTACAAGGATGCGCTTTCTTGAATAATTGTTTTGGAATTTGTCCGAAATTATTGATGAATCCAATGGTGGCATTCTTTTTCAACGGATCGTCAATGTTGTAAATATCAACATTGCCTTCATAGAACAAATGATGAAATACATTTGTGGCGTCTACAGCTGCATTCCCTTGCTGCTTACAACCGAAAATCAAATCGATCCACTGATGTAAATTCTGGCTCACATAGTCACACTCAAGTGCTTGCCGATGAACACGAATGAATTCCCGCACATCTTGTTTTGCCCATGGCGGTAGAATGACATGATTTAATGTATCTCCGTTTTGCTTTGTACCTAATATCGAATGAAAAATGACAGTTCAGTTAGACAAAAGCATTGTGCAAAGTCTTTACTGAGAATATATTCGCAATCAATATTTTACCCAAATCAAAATTGTTGGAATTTTGCAAAAACTCTGGCAAATAGAAGAATTCTGGAATTTGAAAGAAAAAAATACGTTGATTTGGTTCATTATTCTGTCACTTTAAAATATATATACCTGGAATTAACTCTTTTACATCGGCCATATTGAATTTTGATGCCGATAGCCATGCTTCCTTGACACTGTGAAACATTCTATCTGCCAAATCAAAATGGCCACCTTGCAAACGTAGAAAATGCTGCGTAAATGGTTCCATGCGAACTAAATAAGAGCATACAATCATGGCCGATGAATAATGAGTACCATAATGATATGGTGGTGTTTCACCATGTGGATCATCCCATTCCTTGAATCGTTTTTGAAACTGTTCCAATCGTTCGGAGCTTTGCGCACCTGAGGGCGAATCAGAATAGAAAAATGGAAATAATGAAAATGGATAGAAAAAGTAATTATTGAAGAAATTAACCCCTCGTAACTCACCCATTGGTTTTGCAAAGTTACGGAATGTTTTCGCATTGCTTAAATCCAGCTCTTCACTATCGTAGTCGGCTAAAATCCAAGGGAACACTGGGTACTGCATGAGATCATTATAAGAACGTCCAGCCAATGTGTTTAAATGCATCAGATATTGGAAATTTGATATTTCACCTCGCTGAAATCGAAAAAAAGCAAAATTTGATGACTGTTTTCAAAACTACTTGTAAGATTTTGGTTTTCCATTTAAAAGATGAACGACTTACCACCCAGCGTTGTGTAACTGATGTTTCGCCAATCAAACTACTGAAAATTCCCGATGTTTGTTCAACGCTTGCATTTCGCTTTTGTCCTGCCACCGATTGCTGTGCATTATCGGCAATCGCTGTGGCCAATGCCATGAATCGTTGATAGACTTTATTTCGCACTTTTCGTGGAAACGCTAACAAATAATTACGTCCATCGCCCGAAAATACTTCCAAAGCAATTGGTTGCAGTAAATATCGTCGTTTGTGTACTTCACGAATGTCTTCATACGAGAATTTTGAGCATTGCCGCATTGTTTGTGGTGAGCGTCGCGGACTATTCGGACTGGGCAAAATTGGATCATATGCACCGGATGGCAATGAATCAATGTCACGAATCTCTCGATTTTTAATCAGTGTAAATCCATCGATTACATAACAATATTCTTTGCCAAATAGCAACAGGCCTTCATATGTGTCCAAACCTTGGATTCGAGCACATCGAAACATGTGCGAAATTTTCTCTTGCTCTTCAAGCATACGCAACAGCGTTTGATTGTCTGATATTAATGAGACTTCTTCTTCGCCTTCATTCTCAGCCTCTTCAGCACCCGGTTCACTTTGTGCACGTGACAATGTTGGCAATTGTTCGCTTGGACTTTGAGTCGGTGAAAGACTCTGAGTTTTTTCGGATTTTTGCGAATCGAATGTACTCACATCTTCGCATAAAACTCTCGGTGGTAATTGGCAAAATTTGAAAAATGGTTTGCTATCAAAGCTCGTTGCAACTTTGTATTTTAGTTGCCTCTGTAGATGAGAAAAAAAATAACCAAATTTGTTTTTATTTGAATTGTTTTGGTTCAGCGGTAAAAAAGTTTTTTTGTAACCACATTTCTGTCAAACGAAGCATATAAACAAAAAACACATTTTTTGACATACTATGACATTTCGGGCTTAATCACACTGTTAACTATGCGTTTATTGCTCTTGTATGAATGCTATGAAAATGGTTTACCATATTTTTAGTCTTTTTTATAGAAATTTTCAGCGAAATATTTTTTTATTTTCGAATTTTGTTGAGAATTCACTGAATAAAAAATCAAAATGTGTTTGATGAAAAATGGACGAGGAAAAAAAAGTTTGCGTCATCGAGATTCGATACCAATGGCATGTTATTGTTTGAAACTGAACAGTGTATATCGAACAATATTTCCATCGAGTTTGTAAGAGAAAATGGTAAAAATTTAATAATTATCATCGAAATTTCAATGCAGAATGGTTCCAATAGTCATGAAAAATGAGTTTAAGCAAAAAACTGCATAAAAATTGTGCGTTTCATTGCCGAAAATGTGAAAATGCATTGAGCTATCATAGTATCGACAATTAGCGTACATATATTCGACTGGAAGCGTAGCGCCTTCTGTAATCCGGCTATTCGGAGGTCTGGTTTGTGGACTGATTTGAGATTAGGGGTTCTGTATATCAGATGGTTCATGTTGACACGGCGTCCGCATTAAGTTTACCATCAATATGCGCACAATGGAGGAGTCCGATGTGTGCAGGTTGGCTAAGGAAAGACGAACCGGGCCAGGCGGGAAACCGAGCAGCCAAAAGTCTTCGTGGTAAACAGTAATGGGATAGCGCTGTGGAGTGAAACGCTGATGTCAGCCTGATCAATACAGTCAAACTACATTCCTTTTGCAAAAATTTGCAAGGAAATTCCCTTTTTTCGCTTCACATTTTATTTTCTTAATTATTTTTTTTTAATGAAATTTAGGGCAATCTTTGTTTGGAATAGTATTATAACAACGTAATGTTTGCCTTCAAAGTGAAAACTTTAAAATGCTTTTTTACTCAATTTGAAAGTAGAATCTGACAACACAAAAAACACATAAAAGTAATGAATTATTTGCACAAAGTCCATTTGAGTATGAAAAAAATAATAAAAAAAAACTTGGTACTACGAGTATCGATTGTGTGTTTTTGAACTGCAAATCAAGTTCATATCACAACCGACACAAAATTTGTGGTTGTTAAATATTTTACTACGTGGAGATCGAAAAATTATCGTTTCAAGAAAACGCATTATTTTTAGCGAAAAATGTTTGAAGAAAAAAATATGAAAAACATAATACGATGACATATAAAGCAATTGAATTAAATGAATTGTTTGCTTACATTTTCCGGATCTTCTAGCTCTGGCCGATAAATGTATTGTGAATAAAATTGATCATTGCGCATGGTCTTTTTTCGCATTCGATGTGGACCCTCGGTTGAATCGAGTATCCATTTGTCCAAATAATTTTTCTGAAATTTAAGTGAAGTTAAATTAAACGTTCTGTCTTCGTTTTTTAAATTTCAACAATGTGAAAATAAATTATTTTTTTATTCACCTTAATCGGACCCCATAGACCTCGTTCCCGAATAAGTTCACGTTCAGATTGCAACCAATCTTGACATACATATCGAAGGGTATGTTGTGTCATATTTACATGTTGCACATATCGTTGATCGCATAAATCTTTCACCAAACCGACATTTATGTCGGTCCACTCAATTGCTTGACTCTTGGTAATTTGAGATTTTGTCTTCACATATTCCTCCTTCTTGACCTTTGTTCGGCTTGCCAATCGTGTAAGTCCGCCGGTGACTTTTTGAATTTTCGACTGAATTTGATTGTGAAATTCCCATGGTACCCGATAAGTAGCTTTCCGTTCCATATCCACATAGTTGTACCAAAGTTTACTGGCCGCATCTATGCATTGTTCTCTCGTTGCCGTTAAGGTGGGTGCTTTTGCATTATTCGGTGGTGTGGTTAGAGATATTTTGAACACTTCTTCAATTGCAGGCTTCTTACATACATACAATTCCTCCCATACGCGAATCGTTGCACTCACAATTAAATTTTTACCTTGATGCTGATTCAATAATTGATCACGCGTTTCAATATCTTCTTTCGTCGGACTGACATGCCATTTAGTGCTGCGATTTGCCGAATTCACATCCAATTCAATTTTATGATCTCCTGTCAATTGTAGTAGGCAATAGGTTAGGCAACCGATGAAATCAAGCTCATGATTGCCGGCACCAAAAATGAGCAAGCGATGCGTTGTTAATTTATGTAATGTTTCCAAGACTGCAGTTTGATCAGTGAGTGTTTCGGTCGGACGTGATAATAGATACAAGATGATTCGATTCAGCGAATGATGTAGCTGTTCGAGTGATAACGATGACGAGCGACGTTTTGCTTGTCCAATTAATTTAATGATAAAATCAAAAATTTCATGTGGATCTTTTTTCAGCTGACCCTGCCACATCTTATCGACAATACGTGCCGTTAGATAAAATACATTTGGCGCAATATTCTGTACATGACTTTGTAGAAGTGGAACAATTGGCAATGCGGCCTGTTCACCGACTAGCACATCTGCGGCCAGTAAATGATCAATGAGAGCGGTAATGATTTCCGTTTGATATGCAATTTGCTGCGTTGAATCACTGTTTTCAGGCGAAGCATCCAGAACCAAATCAATAACTGGTGCTGTTTTGCCCGTCGATGAGGACAATGATAGCGAGTCGACAACAATAACACGCAGAAAATCGATAACAAATTTACGAACCGAACATTCAGTGAGTTGTGCTTCAATCATTCGAGGTGAGTTGATTAGAATTCCTTCACCATCATCATCTGGTGTCGATGCGTTACTATTTTGCTCCGAATTGTTTGCATCTTTGTTGACAATTGGAAATAGAACTGCTGTGAGTGAACTGATTACATCACCCAGCATTAAAACAGACATGAAATCCGGTAAATTGTGATACATTGAGAAAAGCACATGAATTATGGTGACGGGATGCGAGACAAGCCAATCTAACTGACAATCACATTCGTGTACAATGCGTCGTATCATGCTTAGAAGAACGCATACACCTTCTGGACATAAATGCACTTTGGGCGATGGTGATTGTGAAACGGAAACATTAGTACCCCAAAGGAATGACCAGATCCGATCCAAATCCAACTTTGTGTGATCGTTGCCAAGTACTTTTACTGGTTGGCCCATTATTAGTGCGGTTAGTAAATAATAAAGTTCAGGTACTTCCAAATGATGGGGTAGAAGCCATTCTAGGTACTAAAAGCAAAAGGTTGAATTCGTTTTAAAACGGAAATTAAATTGAAAACAGTACAGTTGACTTCTTTTTTAAAACTTACCTGAAAACCGGGAATTCGCAAGACAGCCGTTTTCACTTCACTTGCAATTTGAGCTGGCAACTGACATCCCGGCTGAACTTGTACAATTGAACCGCTCGACGCAGGCTGTGGACTTATTTGCGAAGTAAACACAAGTGCACCACACTGTGACACTTGCTCAGTAAACTTTAAATAACCACCATTCTGAACACCCTCACGAAATCGACCGATAATCGTTTCATTTGCACACACTACAACCAATATTCGCATACCTGTATGAATGGATTAAATGCAAATGGATATATTGACATTTGAATTATATTTAATAAGCAAAAGAATGAAATATTTACCCAAAATAACGGTTGACGAATGAATTTGTGGTTGCAAAAGCAATAGCAGCCAATCGAGGCCAAGAATACGAGAAATATCTTCGCACAAATGACTGTTTACGGTATTCCTTGATGTAAACAAAAGAGCATGCAATAAATGTAATGATCGATTTCTTAAAAGAATATTTTTAATCGCATCTTTTTGCTGTTGATCAGGTGCATCTTTGATAGCAGCATCAATATCTTTCTGCTCTGGGTTGAACTTTAACACTTTTTCACTGTTTGAAGTGCTCTGTAATGCAAAAAGGATGTCATGAGCATGTGTTTTCATAAATATATGCCAAACGGAAAAAAACAACTGCCAACCACACGAAATAAGTTATCTACTTGTTTTTGCCCTCGTTTATGCATAGATTTCAAAAACGGGTTCACTTACCAATGGAATTTTCGCAGCAATATATTGTCCGAAGAACAAAAGATCCAAATGTCTTGGTTGACTTCCCAACAAAACTGAGAGCAACGAATAAACGATTTCCAAAGTATTTGGCTCATGAATGTCTGGTATTATGTGAAGTAGTTTGGTAACAAGTTGTAAGTCACGCATAATTCGAATGTTTGATCGTTTTTCACTTGATTCCGAGCTCAATTCCAGCAAATGCTCCAGCAAAGATCTCAATAAATCATTTGGAGCACCATGCCAAATTTCCAAATCACATAATAAATCCTAAAATTAAATCAATAAAGGTCAGAGTTTTGAATACAAAACAATATTTCCCAATTCGAAAACTCACTTGGAATGCTTGAATGTTTGGGATTGCAGACGATTCTTGGCCACTATTTACAGTACCAACCAAACTAAATGTCAAATGAAGAATGTGTGAATTTAGTAAATTTCGTTTCTTCTTAAAGAACATCGCCAATGTTTGGTAGCTTCTCTTGCGATCCATTTCACTTTGAGCTGCTCGATTACTTCGCACCACACAGGTCAATGCTTTCACCCCGGCATACAGACTTTCAACATCTTGAGCCATTGCAATGATTCCCAAAAGAATATTACAGCCACCGACTGTATCAATCATTTTCGAAACTGGATTTGGACTAAACACGCGAACTCCCAAGTAGCCAACAACTACACCGCCCAATGTTCGGGCTGAACCGGCCAAGTGACCAGCAGAATTATGGAGAATACTGAAGAGAAGGAAAGAAGAATTGTATTTCGTTTACATTTATGATATAAAAAAACTGTTACTAACCGAATTGGCGTTGCATTTTCATGTGAACTCATTCCCAATTGCTTTGCAATAGCTTTGTTATCGGCACGACTATAGACCTTACGAATTTTAGCCAATGTAAGATGTGACATTGCTTTTGCATTCAATCCAAACATGACACGTTCTTCAGCAACCAGAGGATTTATCGGTTCACTTTGTTTGCCGAGCTGTGGAGCCTGCAACGAACCCATATAATGCGGACCCAATGCGTATATTGTAGAAACAATTTGTGGTGAAATAATGTCCTCAATCAGGTGACAAACGCCTTGTTTCCAACATAAACGTGAATGACGTCTCCAGCTGGGTGGAGTTCCGATCAAACCAAACACCGAATTGGCAACTGTTATATTGGTCGAACTGGCACCCGGATTTTGTGAAATATAATGCAATTTCTGAGTATGCATATGATGACCATCCAAAAATAGAGAGAAACTGGAATTTTTCAACACCGCTCGATTTAATACAATCACCAAATGATGCCATTGACCTTCGTGTAGTAAATCTGGACACCAAATTCGGGCACTGCTATCACCGCCGCTTTCTGGTTCCCATTCGCCAACATCTATACAAATAATAAAAAATAAAATTAATACACATCGACCATGTTAACATCTAAATTTCAATCTACTTACTATGTGGGACGAGTGTCTCTTGTGTTGAAACGATAATTGCTTTATCTCGTGCCGACAGCAAAACGGTCAGACATACTAAATTATCTTCGCGTGGAATGTTCACAGTTCGCACCAAAGTCAGCAAACGTACACAATGGGGATCGGTGCGTGGATCGCTGAATTTATCAACGCAAAACCAACTCGAATAACTTAGACCAGTTTGTGGAGGAAATACACGATCTCCTGATCCGATTCCACCAATAACCGAACCATCCAAACTACTTCCAATGCTCGGTGCCTGTGGGGCTATGCTCGGCAAATACAAACAACCAAATCCTTCACTGGACATATCCATCTCAACAAATGGTGGAAGTGTACACGATGCATGTGCTCGAAAATCACGAGGCGTAGTCATGGATACTAGTGTTTTAATTCGTGTCAATTGCACCGATCCACCGGATTTATATGGTTTAATGAAATTCGGACTCTCGCAACATAATGGCAAACCCAAACGAAGGAATTCCCGCAATTCAGTTGGTTGAAGTGCTTGAGCTGCCAAACGCTCTAGAATGTATTGTAATGGTTCATGCAATGCATTTCCCTCTTCGCTCAGTGACCTTCGACCGATATTTAGCAAATGACCAGCCAAACCTGTTTGGAAAAATATTTTTCAAATGTAATTATATCGATAAGCGAGAAATTTTTGAAATAAAAGTGAAAAAAATCGTTACCTGCATCGCACATAACTTGCTGATTACGTTCGCTTCGCACCAAACTTTTTAGCACATGTGTAGCTAAATACATTTGTAATGTGAGTGCAGTTTCATTTGCGGTTTCATGTTCGACGGATGGCAGTAGTTGAAGCATGCAAATAACAACGGATGGATGCACAATGATTGGTTCTGGTTGCGGCTGAAAAGTTAGATTCAATGATGAAACTGAACTTCTGGGATCTTTTGACGGTTGTGGAATATTATTATTTGATGTTTGTTGTGCTTGTGCACTGTTCGCGGCTGGTGTTGTTGCTGTAACCGATGCAAGACCCGACAAATTCGGTTTATCGAAATTATCCAATGTAATGTCGTATAGAAAACGATAGACGAGCGTCGCAAATGACAATGATGCTGGATATGTGCTATCAAATTCCGGTTGTAATGGATTACTCATAAATAACGAGTGAAAATAATGTTTTGCACTCTCGTCACTCGTCGAATTTCGTTTGTTACTCAATTCGGTTGTTGTACTGAAACAACCTAACAACCGTAGAGTATTGCAAAGGGAAGTGTTGCAGATTTCGTGCTGGAAAAATTTTGCATTGGCTGGCTCAAATCGCATTGCTGTCGATAGCGTTTGACATGCTAAATGTAAAAGATGTAGAATATCTTTGATTTGTTGGCTATCATTCGTCATTCCGTCGCTTAGTTTTCCATCTAGGGAAACAAATACACTGGTAACATAAACAAAACCACCAACTTTTCGGAAAATCGTCCGCGTTCGATGACTGTCACGCAAACAGCTGAGTAGGGCTTTCAAAATTTGCATTTTCAATTCGATATTTTGTGGTGGCGCCGAATGCATCGTTGTTAAAATGAATGTCATATCATCATCGCCGCCAGCTGATAGCACAAGTTCACGAATAATGCCAAGTATATGATTTCGATTGTGTTTGAATTTTATCATGTCGTGTATGCACTTTGCACCACCACTCTCACGAAAAACATTTGCATTACTGTTGTTTCCATTCAATAAGATTCCAAGTGATTCAATCACCAATTTACCAAAAATTTCATTCGGATCTAGGGTAGAAAATTGAAGAAAATTTAATGTTTGTGATACTGTATTTCGTTTCCAATTTTACATGGAGGAAACCCCATTATTTCTTTTTATAATTACCATTTTCAATGTCTTCTTCATTTGTTAGCTCCAAATCGTACGGATCCGATTCAACGTTTACATGTTTCTGTAGAAAACCTGAATATTTCATCAAGCACCCAACGAATACCTCTAAAATACCAACTTCTCGATATACATCTTTGAATATGCTATTGTGTCTGCACGAACAAAAAAAAATGTTATTTTAAATTAGCATGAATGACTTTGTTTTGTATACAGAATACACACAAAAACAGTAAAGTATATTCACCTTAAAATATTCAACAATGTACGTATGCATAGCGTGTTGCAGCTGATTGATTGATATCCTTTCAGTAAAATGGACAATGATATGAGCTCTTTGCATGGTACAAAATGCAATTGAAATACGATAAATTCAAGAAGTTCAAAGCATTTTTCTTGTACAATGTGACTTTTCACGTGAATTTTTTCGATGAATTGACTGAGCGTATTTTGTGGTTCAAGTATAAAATAATTGGCGTTATCGGAATGATATACACTGGAAATGGCATCAATTATTGTACAACACAACGAGCTGGAATTTGATTTTAGGAAAACCGTTTGCAGCACTTGAAATGCATGAATATTTCGCACAGATGTGCCACGCGATGATGTTTGTGGCATTTGAAAACCCTGAATCTGGAACAATGGATTCGATTGGCTTTGACTAGGCCGCAATTCCGTATATCCACACATACACAACGATGCAATCATTAACACCAGATTTCGTATGGCCGCATTTGCATCACTATTTTTAGATCGTTCTGTTTCCAATTTCAACAAAAAATCAGCAAGAAAAATATACCCTTGACTACTACGAAAGTCATCTAACAACACTTGTGACACTTCACTGGAGTCTTTGAGAAAACAAAACACAGCTACAAACATTTCGACAATTTCAAGTGGTTGCAATTGAGGTGCGCGCTGCATATTTTCAATGCATAGGGCAACGCATCCTTTTGAATGAATATAGTTGACGACGGGCTCGGACAATCCATGTCGTGATAGTGTCGTTAACACTTCCGCCGCCGATTTGCGCCAAATTACATTTTGTGTTACGCACTGTGATGTTATCGCTGAAAATAGTAGTGTTAAATCATCCATGCGAGCCAATTCTTCGCTTGGATAGGGATATGAACACAAACGCACCATAAGTTGAACGAAGATTTTTTGCAACAATATTCGTCGTTCACGTTGCGTAAAATCACTGCCATCTTCTTTATCAGCTTCCTCATCGGGTATTTCAGGCAAATCGAAAAATAAATATAAACATTTGACTAGCGTGGATGGTACCGAGGCCGATGTCATTGTTTGAATGAGCGACGAATCACCAGCGGCCAATAAATTTAATGTTGTCAATAACATCCATCCATTACTTGATTCTTCACAATTATCGATTTCCAGAAATTTTACAATTGCAATCGATGCGGCTTCGGTGCTTTGATTTGATGCACGTTTTCGTATTTCAGAGACCATTAGCCGTGATACTTGCTGACAAAATGGCAAAATATCCCAGAATTTTTCGCTCATATCATTCGAATGTGTCGTACCAAATACCTTACAAAACAGTGGTAACATATTGTACAATTTGAAATCGCGTTCAGCTTCGTTGAGCACCTCTCTTGGATGTGCATACTCATTGAACAGTTTTTTTAAGTGTTGCAAACTGAGTTGAGTGTGTGGCGAATCGGGTGTCTCAATGGAATCGGTGGCAGGGCTATCATTGCTTGCATTACTAGTGGCAGGTGTTTGGTTCTGGTTCGCACCACTGCGCAATTTTCGCATAATATTCATGGTGAAGGCTGAGACACACGTTTCGTCTTTTTATTTTTGTTCTACTTTCTGTTCTCCTTATTCGGTCGATGTATGTAAACTCGACGACACGACAACTCACTCCCTTTTCCAACCTTAAGTTATATCTTCAGCTTCAACGCAATTATTATCTGGTTATCAGCATTCGTAAAACGACTGCTTCAATAGAACGCTCGCATTTTGCCTCATTGAATCTATTTTTAAATCGTTGAAAAGGGAACAACAAAATCATTAACAACTGCTCAATGTGCTTCTGAATAAACATTTGTTTTTAAACATTAGACAATTTTTTTTTTCAATTCTCATATCCAAGAGCTAATTGATACAAAAAAACCATTGATAATTAGCAAACACTTTAATTTAATCCGCCTACAATCGCAATATGTTTTGCATACTGCCTTGACGCACTCTCCGTATCTGCATGCTTACATATGTGATTTTTTTTCATTCCACGCTGTTCACTTCGCTTGAATTAGAATGAATCAAATGAAATTCAAATTATAAAATAGAGACAGTGACACATTCAATGCGAAGCAATTGATTATTGCTCATGACATGATGTTGTCAAAGCTCATTAAATTTGGATTACTATACACCATCACCGTTCGTCGTTTTCTTTGTCGTCCTCCTTTTTTACCTCCTACCACAAATTACACAGTTTTTTTTTCTCTCCATTAGAGTCCATACTTATAACTTTACAAAAAAAAAAAAAAGTAGAATAAATGAAATTGGTGGTGGTCGCAAAGTTGTTTTGCCATTTGTTTGTGTATTGAAATTCAATTATTCTTTTTTATTTATCATCGGATAAAATGTCAAAATGTTTGAATGAAGAAGAGAAAAAACATGCACACAATCGTTCGCTTCATTGCGATTCAGTCAAATAGCTGAGTTTAATACACGCATACTCGACTATCGTCAATTAGATTCACACATTCATTCATTGACGACAGCAAGAATGGAGAAAAAACAACCTTTGTTTAATATGATGAATTTCGCAGAATATTCTATTTGCTATTCATTCTATACATGAAATTTTATTTCGAGATATTGTGATAACAATTCAACAACGTTGAAAATAAAATCAAAAACCATTCACATATTTCACACATAACAGAGCGACCAAAACTATCGATTGATTTTTCGTGTCTCGTTTTTACATAGAGAAAAGTGACTTTTTCTTTGTATTTAACAACACTTTCTTATTTATATATCATAATCATCTCACCATTTAGCAGTGACTCATTCACATCTTATTAAATAACAAGATAACATTTTTGATTATATCTCACTCTCACTTGATTCGTTGAGAAAAAAAAAATTAAATTGAAAAATCTGTTTCAGTTTCAATGAATATGAACAGTTTTCATTGATTGCACTCGAATACTGAAGCGAAGAAAAAATCGGAGCTGTCATTTTAACATAGCGGCAGGTCTGCGATGCGACGCATCGTCGCATGCCATTTGCGGATGGATCGTTGCGGAAAGTTTGTGTGGCGGCAATTCAATGTTATCATTTGTTTTGAAGATTTCGATAAAAATACGCTGCTCACAAAAGATTTTAAATGGAATTATTTTAATAGAATCGCCAATTGAAAATTAGAAATGATTACTTTGTACAAACAAAGAAGTGCACAGGTTTAAAATGTATCTTTTGTGCTTGTTTACATTTTTGAATCACACACCAACATCTCACCAAGAAACTGAAGTAAGCTCCAACAATAGTTATGCGAATGGAGCGACAGATGGATTTTATCTGCACAAACTCATTTCCAAGGTAATATTTACAGAACAAACAATGGACATTTCAATTTTATCCGAAATTTATTTTGATGATTTTGATTTTAATGAAATCAAGTATAAAAATAAGACTTTTTTTTTATTTTTTCGAATTTGGTTTTAAATGCATCAAAAATGCATTAAAATCATTGTTTCTGTGATTCGGATTTTAAAGATTCTCGTCAGATTGAAGACCATAAAATATCTCAATGCATTATACACAGTTAAATCAATAGCCTAAGTTTCGATTCCGTCCGATAGATGTCACATCAAAATGTTTTGTTTACATGTTCCATTTACGGAATTCACAACTACACGCGCAGTGTACATTTTGACAGTTCATTGACAACAAGTCAACTGTGTGCAAATCGTACTAAGAACGACAGAAATTGAGAAAAGTGCGCCATATCGCTGTTAAATGTCAGCTGTAGCTTTGAAATATTTGCAAATGATTTTATACGAAAGATGTACAAATATTTGAAAAGACTTTCCTCGTGTAAATATATGTTGAACGTAGAATTCTATAAATTCCTATTTGATTTCGGAAGTGTAAAAAATGTGTGCGGTGCAAAGCTAAAGTCGATGTGAGAAGCCATTAAAGCGTTTTTATTGTGGTCTCTTATGCACACCGTATGTAAAAAAATATTACCAGTGAAAAAAAAGTATTTTAATGTTTACATGCTTATCTGATTGAACTCAGGCAAAAACAAAGTGAATTGTGATTTTTTTGCTTTGAGATTTTATAGCAAATTGTCTTTTTTTTTCTGTACGAACAACCTGTGAATTTTTACAATATTTTTGTTGAGTGTATTTGTGTGTGCTATTTAAAGAGATGTATTAAATAGAGTGCTCGACATTTATGCTGGCATAAAAAATATGAATTATGAATTAAGTCACTTCAAACGAGCGAGAAGTGGTTCTTATTTAAAATAAATCGATAGAAAGAGAAGAAAAATTGTGTTTTGCCAGCAAGTGTTTTACATAAGTGTGTGACGGTGCTCAATCAAAACGATGAACTCATTGAAAATTGCAAGCACGAAAAAGGTCGCATCGATGCTGAGCTAATCATCATTTTTATTTCACATTAGAAAAACCAGTTTTCATTAGTCTAATGATGGCATTTTTATCATCGTTAGTTTTACGGTTTTAATAAATGTTCCGCAACAATAGTGTTTGCATGAGGTAAGTGTTTTTTTTTTAATGATAAGACGTGTAAGGTGCGATTGTCACACTGTACGCAAAATACTTTCTCATTTGCTTATTTCGATGCAAATTTTCGATCAAAATATTCAAATGGGACACGAATTCGTATGCTATGAATGATATATTTGAAAATATTCAATTCAAATAGTGAACAAATCAAAGAAGTGTGTTAAGAAACGTGAAAAAAATATTTAAAACAAAATGAGTGAAACAAATCCGGAATCATCATCATCTGATGGAATGGTGCCAAAGACTGAACGGGCACCATCACCAGCTCCATCCGAAAAATCCATTAAAAGTGATGTGTCCACCACATCGTCCCGGTTGCCAAAGCCAACGGGCATGAAACCACCATCATCTACAGCTACAATTCGAAAACCATCTACCTCATCAGCGAGTGCACAAAATTCAACACCGGTATCAACTAGAATCGGTCGATTGTGCACATCGCACGGACACGGTGCAAAATCCGGCCCACCTCCGTTAGAATTACACAAAAGTAAGTAATATTTCCAGTTTTTTTTTAATTTAACATTAGAAAAATTTAACTTAGTCTATCTCCGGTTGAAAAAACGACGACGAAAATGAAAAAAAAACAACATCGACGGCAAAATGGTTTGATGAGAATAAATTGTCTTGCCACAATTAAAATAGCATATACTATAACAAATCAGCACAACTGCTCGTGAATATGACGCAAATAATAATAATAACAACCTATTTAAAGGCATTTAATTAACATCGATGTTGATAATCAAAAGCACTATTCAATCGAATGATCACATACAATAGACATAAAATCGCGGCATATACACATGTTACAGCAGTCAACGAGAAAACGGTAAGGAAAAAGTCGCTGATCAAAACAATCGGCATTCATTCATCGGTGTAAGAGCTAATGATACGTTTAATGTGCTCATTAAACAAAATAGAAAATGAAATTTGTCACTGGCAATAATTTCTTACTTTCAACATAAACATCGATGGAAAACTATTTGTTTTGTGTGTTTTCTTCGTTTTATGTTTTATGCGTAATATTTGCAAAATGTCAAATGAATTTTATGTCAGTTTCGATAAATCACGATCAACAATTTTATTGTTATTTATGAGGATTTGATGAAAGAAAGAAGGTCATATGCAATAAATTCAATTAACGCGCTTACAACCAATCAACATTTATTTCGATTTTCGTGTTGTGTAAAATATGAATAAGAGCCTTTTACCATGTTACATCTTTCTCTTTGGTTTATTTTACTTTTTCTTTGATGCTTTAAAACAAGAAAGAAGAGAAAAAGATAGAAAAACAAACAAATCTGGCTGAACGACCTTTCTTCTACATTTATCGCCGAAACTAAAAGGATTAACAAAAATGTTGTTAGAATCTATGGTGCTGTTTCATTAAATTCCCACAATACCAAATTGAGCGAATATAATCAATAAAATGTTGTTTTATCGGAGATCGAATGTCATCGGTGAAATCGATTTGTACAAATGAACTGCGTACATTCAACAGAAACGTATTTACACATTCTCGTATTTTTTTTCCGCCAACAGCGTGATGTATGCAAACAATAAAATACTCATATATCTGGTTTTCTCCAATATTGTGTCAAAGTGTTCGCAGCGATTCTTATGAGAGAAGAAAATACACACAATTTGATCAAAGTGGTGGTGCGAACTGAGAGCGTTAAAATCGGCACGCTTACGCGATTGCCGTTTCGCGCTTATTGCTTTAGTCTTTCAGAAGATCGCAAAGCGACAGCTGTTCTTCGATTTCAGTTTAAGCGCCTCGCAAAAAAGTCAATTGATTTCTTCCTCACGTCGTAGAGCAAAGAAGTATCATCTGGACAGTGAAAACAAGTGGAACACCACGGCCTGCAAACAAAAATAAATACTTTTTCAAACCACGAACTATTAACGAGTATATTCATTGGAGAAATCACCGAATATATTCAAATCGAAATAAATTATCGAGTATTTTTTTTTTGTAGCTCCAAACAATTACAACTTAGGTAATTTTTTGAAATACCAAAAAAAATTTCAACATCAAATTCAAAATCGTGTTTTGTTATTCGTTAAATGCCATGAAAAAAATACTGTTCGTTCGAATTTGATCGCTCACGAAAACCACAATGAAGCTATAATCGATTTGGTGTTATTTAGAATTGATATAAGTATTCAAGCGAGACACTATAAAATCTAGAGATGACACTGTGCGATCCGCGATGTGGTCACTGTTATGAAAAAAAAGTGAGATAATATTTCTGCAAAAGCGTTTCAAGAATTTCCATTTCTAAAAACAGAATTCATCTGGTTGGCTGGCTATCTGGTTATTTTAACGAATTAAATTAAAATGTATTCAAATCCGTATTTATCGTATAATTTTATTTAAATATATGCGAATTTAATCATCGATCTCTCCGTCAGTCGTCTATTGACGATCGTGTCATGTTTATATCGCTTGCACTATATAATCATTTGTGAAGCTGTAGAAAGAGCGAAAAATAATACAAAAAAAGAATCGCTTAATTAAAATCGATGTACGTAATAATTTCAGGTTGATTCATGATCGGTTTCATTATGTGTGTATTTGTAATTTGTTTTATGTGCATGTCGATTTGTGTCATGCTCATGATCATTGAAAACGGTGACGTGAACGTCAAGCGTGTACTCACACCGATTTTCATTCACATTTTTACGTTGAAAAATCACCCAATTTTGTATAGTCTACGCTAAAGTAAATAAACATGACCGTAAAAATGAAGCCAAGTGTTTGATGTCAGTGCATTGTTTATGTGTTTCGCTGACAGAAAGGTAGAGTAATTGCACCGCATGATGCAATTAAAAAACAAAACCCTCAACATCATGCACTCTTGATCGATGATCGGCCAATGAAATACCCATCATTCAGTGTCACAAGCAATTAACTATTCACATTCGTTGCCTTTGCATCCGAACGGCTTTATTTATGTGCAAATTCATCTGCTTTAAAATGGAAAAGTTCGAATCGTTCTAGATCATTGTCATTGTGTTTTTTTTTCTCTGATGAATTGTTACCTTTTTTTCATTCTTACATTGATTGTAAATGACATAATGTAGACTGATATGCAAACGACATAAACAATTCGTATAAAATAATTGCCAGCCGGTGGTGTGAGTTGCCATTTTCAGAAGCAATTACAAAGTTCACTTCTCTGTTTTTGCTCAATTCACATCGACACACCATAGAAGTGATGATGATTTGAAAGAAATGCAATGTAATTAATTCAAACGGAATGCTATCTATCGTCGATTTTTTTTCTAGCCAAAGGCAGCGAAATTAAACAGAGCACGGACTTTTCTTTGAATAATTGAATTAAAGAATTCGAATTGAATGCAAAGCACAACAATCGGGGCCAAGAATGAATTTTTTTGCATATCAATCAAATGAGTTGCTATCTCGCTGCAACCGAATTTGGATATTCATTAATTGACTTAATTTCTTGCGTTTTGCTATCTCCAGATTTTCTTTGAGAAAAAACGTGTTCTGTTTCGCCCTAATTGAGAAATAATATTTTTTTCCCGAACAAGATTCTTATCAAAAACCAAATTTTAGCCATATCGCAACGTTTTATTATCGCATTTACACCAAGATTTTTTTTGTCTTCAATTTATCACACCATAAACCAACGCAAAGTGAGTTTGATTTAAAAAAATAATAATCGTAAAACCCGATATGAATAGTTTCCGCTCGCGTACAAAGTGAGCGTGAACAAACAAGGCGAACAGTTATTGAGACAACTTTACACATGAACCAAAAACACAAAATAATCGAGTAACGTAAAAGAAACCAATGTCGATTCTATTCCAAAACGGTCGTCACAAACAATAGAAAAGAATGTGGTTCAGTTCAGTGTACGAAAACAAAAGTACATATAGATAATAAACGATCGAAAAAAATCCAAACACTGGCTTAAGTCTGTAAACAAATTAATCGTGGACGATCTAACAAACAAATATTTGTGTCAATTCGAAACAGATTATTCATAAAAAAAGAACTCCAGTTATAGCGAAACCTTTTGAAATGGCAAAAAAAAATGTCGGCAAAGATGACGACGACGTCGATGAGAAAAACATAAAAAATCATAGCACAAAAACATAAGTGCTCTTGAGATAAAAGAGTTTCGCATTTGGAGTTTGGAATTCAGAAGATATGTGTGTTATGTTGCTTTCAGTTTCTCATGTCTCATTGTGAAGCTCGATTGAAGTCTCTCGTCTCGATACCCGACTCTGTTTAGTAGACAATAAAAGACGCAGATTTTTGATCGCTTGTGCGCGCGCATACACACACATGACATCATTTTATATTGCAAATTGCGGAGGCGGCATTCGTACCAAATGAAACGACTCTCTTGGATTATTTTAATGTTTCGTTAAATGGATTTGAAATAGCAGCTATGCGATCTCGATCGTATGTCGATGTTAATAAATTAGCTTTTTTCATCGCTTCGTTGTTTTTGCTTCGAGTTTTTTCCGCTTTAAAAAGGAAAAAAACAAAAAAAAAAATGCAGTTGAACCAGCGTTCACTTATTCGTTAAATACCAATTGGCTTCAATTTGGTTTACTTCAAACTTCATTTGACGGAGTATGCAATTTTTCACTTAAAATCATCGAATAAAAATTGAATTCATTTGACCGAGCGTGTGAATCAATATATTCCACTTGTGTGGGAGATGGTCAACAATGTGTTTTCTTCTGCGTCGTAAAAAATCTTTATATTGTTGCATCGTTTGCTACTTTTCTCCAATATCACATTTTCATTCGTAATGAAAGATTCAAATTTAAAACTTTCATCATTCATTAAAACAATGAATGGCACATTCATTTGAGCTATCTATTTTGATAAGTTCATTGACGGCTTTGAAACCGCTTCTGTGATTTAATGCGCAGAAACATTGAAACAAAACTTACGATTTATTGCTTCCGCTGTTAATTAAGCGGTCTGGTTTTTATTCCATTAACAAGTTAAAAGTCAACAAATTACACTTCATTTAGTTATCCACGGAGTAAATGATTTGTATGTATGTCTATGATTTGTCATCATTCATGCACTTTTGTCAATTTAATAAACGTTCATTATTATTATATTGATGTGCATGCAAGAAAAAAAAAGTTATTTAATTTTTTTATCTCATTATATAGGCTGAACACGTGCCATTTATGTTTTGTCATTGGCAATTTAAGTATCAAGTAATAAGTAAATGACTCCTACAAGCAATAATGTTTATTGTTTTAAGCCTACCACGTATTCGGTCAGCGGAAAATAAAAACAAAACCATTTGATGTGAATTCATAAGTTTACTTCCGATGAACACGCATCAAACGAAAAATACAAGGTTTAAACAGGAACGAAATAATCAACCTTTAAGCTCAGAAAATTTCTAGATTGCCTTCAACTTAGAAAATGATCATCTGCATTTTAAATTCACTCAGTTTTGCAAACTGCTAATGCAAACCGTGTCGCTGTTTGTTTTGCGGTTTTATTATCAAGAAGTCTTGATTCATAAAAAAACTGTAAAACCAGTTTGACTCGCAGCATTTACTATGAAATCGTTATTCTATAGACTGAACGAAATATTTAGAACACATAAAACAGCACACAAATCCGTTACGATTTATTTTTTTAGACATTTTTACAAAATAATAAACCATAAAGAAGAATCAATTTGTTTGAAAATCGTGAATTTGATTCGATTTGAAATAATCGATTTAAGAATGATATTCTTGATTTTATTCCAAATCTGTTGCTTTGCTCTGATTTATGGTCTCCGTCACCATGTTCATAACTAGTCTCATTGTTTGATCTTATTTATTCGGCGAAACGCACATAAATACGTCAATTGAGTGGCGACAAAAATGGTCAAAAGAAATTAGCATTGACAACAAGATTTGATTTTAACTCTATTTTTCATTGTAATTTGTGTGTTGTCATTTTTAAAATAGTCACAACACTTTATTAATAGGGGTGGATGTTTCCGAAGAAGATGAAGACAACAATTGAATTTGTTTATATATTTTTTTTTGGTATTTTGCCGACATACATCACGAGAGAAAAAAGAACAATCGGCAATAATAGTTTAAAAAACAACGTGATATATCCATTGTATGAATTCACGACCAAGGTCAAGCACGACACAGCAACATATATTCCATTTCTATTTTTGTTGTATTTAAAATGTAAAAAAGCGACACATTCGTGCAAAATTTGCCGCAGCCGAGAGTAGTAAATTTAAATAAAGTTACTATTAACATAACACTTTGGGCAATATACTGAGTGTTTGGAATTCAGTGTTCAAATATTTATTTTTTTATTCATAGTCATTATCTCACGCTGAATTGTAGTAACAAACACATTCCGGTGGAAGAAGGCACATTTTGAGCTCTTTTCATCCTTTTAACAAGTCAATCAGTTCCAAACCATTGAAAATGTGTGTAGACAATAAAATTGCCACACAATATACTGCTGACTCAATTTCTAGACAGCAATTTCAACTGTTTGGTTTGGAAACTACAAAAAGTGTCAATTCTCAGCTGAGCAGACATTCAAAATAACAACATTTCGTGTTTGTCGCTAAATAACAATAATAGTAAATCGACACGTGACTAAAAAAAACTTGCACTTAGCGAATGCAATCTTTCGTTCCGCGCGGCTGACTTGAAATAAGAGATTAATCAATATCTTTCTCTATCCAAGCGAAAAATTTACTTGATCGTCAGACAACGGAATTGGCGTCACCATGTTTCAACTTTGCGGCGTAATAAACAAGTGAGAAGCAAACATCATTATCTTGACTTCGAATTGACTCTTTGAGGTGTCAATTCTTTTTTGTCTCTCAATTTTTATTTCAAACAAAAACAGAGATTTTATCATTAACATTGTTTGCCTAGGGGACGGAAACCATTAGCTAGTTTTTTATATTTCAAGTAAAAACTAGGAAAATTAGAAAAAAAGTAGCAAAAACTAGAAAAATTAGCAAAAATTAGCAAAAATTAGCAAAAATTATTTGATCCACCATTTTGATATTCTGCCATGATTTGGTGACTAAATCAATTTTACAAGTCGACTATTGAAAGAAACAAGTACTTTATGCACGATTTTGTGTTAAAAAAGAATAATTAAACTTATTTTCACTATTATAAGTGTATATTTATTCAAAACACATAAAAATATGTCTGAACAACAAAACGTCAAAATACTTCATTGTGTCAGTACAATCATTTGATTGTCATTTGACAGAACAAAAAACTAGAAAACTAGCAATTTCATAAAGGAATATTAGCATTATTAGATTATTCAAGCAATAAACTAGTAAATTAGCTAAAAACTAGTAAATTAGCTATAAACTAGAAAAACTAGCATTGGTTTCTCTCCCCTAGTTGTTTGCAAAGGAGTGTTTAATGAAATCGTACAAAAAAGCTATATATTCTAAGCTCGACACACAATGGAAATAAACTGTTAATAACTGTTTCAAAAGCGTTCAATTTCTATTTTGGAAAACCGTGTGATATATTGACACTTTCTAGAGAATGTGAAATTTTAATGCATTATTTCGATAATAATCGACGCCAACGCAGATACGCTTTCAAAATAGATACGAAAAAAAAATACAGATTCCCAAGTAATTTGCATTGTTTCGACGAATGTGAACCGCATCAAAGCCGATTAAAGTCAATCGTACACGGTGATTGAGAGTCAAAATTTAAATATATATACTAAGTCAATGGTCGATTATTCACGGCTGTGGCTGTATACCCAATTTTCTCTTTATAAACTCTATTTCTGTTGGTTGACAGATGCAGAAATTCAAAAACAAAATTCAAATGGCAATTATGGTTGTCGAGACGGTATCGTTGTGTATGTTTTATTTAGATTTCTGTCGATATCATGGGCAGTAATTTTAAGAGCAATAAATAATGAGGCGTCGAAATATCGACACAAAATATATCTCATTCTAAATGAGGCACACGCACACAAATCTGACTGTTTGTCAAAGAGATTTTTTTTTCAGCGGCTGTCGATGCATTATTATTATTTTCGAAACAAAAGCCAAGAATTGAAAATGAAATTACTGTCAGGCGGCTTGCGAACGGAGGTGTTGAATTATTTGGCATTGACCCGCTCAAGCCGACTTTTTTTCTCTCGCTTCAATCCAGAAAATTCACAAAACAAATAAAAACAAAAAAAAAAATAAGTTTCAACATTATGCAAACAGTGGAATCAAATGCGTTTATTCTTACTTAAAATTGAGATTTCATGGTGATTTCGTTTTATTGAGTAGTCTGAATTCAGCCAACATTTAATGTAAATATTGTGAGAAAAAATGACTACTGAATCGCCAACTCAACATACAACAGTGACATGCAATTTGTTGAAATGTCTTTTTAACCGTCTGAAGTGGTGATCACCGCTTCCGAATGAATAGTCTGCAAATTACTTTATCAAATAGTCACTTTAGTGACGGTTTTTTATTCAATGAAATATGCGAAGAAGACTCAACTGGTTCGTTCTTTCAAATCAAACATTACATAAAATGCTGAAAAAAAAACATATAAATAAATCCAGTCAATCGTGCAGCATATGGTTGATATTTTGCAAATGTAAATATTCAAATACGTGTTACGCAAATATACAAACATACATTAGCCTATTTAAATGAATAAAATGATCAGGTACTGAACATCAGAATTGTTTTCAACCAAGAAAGAAGATAACGGTATGGCACTTGGCTTTTTTTTACTAATGAAATTCACGATTCAATGTTTTAAGTGTTTGAATAACGCCACAAGTAGGCATTGCGCCTCTCTATTTAGCAACTCGTCCGTAATATTTACTTTACAGATGTTCAAATAAAAGAGAGCCATTCTATTCACAGTTTAGCGCGTATTTATTGCGAATGACACTATTTCTATTGCGAATATTGTCGGCGTTTGTCCATATGGCAATTGTTTGTACAAAAATTCGCTTCAACTTTTATTGTCGAAAGAAATGTCTACGAAATGGTCGCTATTTTTATCTTTTTTTTCTGTCATGGTTTCAATTTTCGTCATTTGTGTTGCCTTTTCTGTTGGCGTGGAATGTTTTAATTTTCGTTTAACTAATTCACTTTGCGGTTCTTTTTCCTAATTAGGATATTTTATTTTTTATTTTTGTTGCTAATTTCCGTTTATATGCATGCTTTTTTCTCTCTTCCGTTTGTTTGTTTGTCATTTTTGTTGTTGGTGAGCAGAAGAATCCGAATCGTCATCCGATAAAATGCGACGTCAAAGTGATGAATATTCACGTTCACATCTCGCAGGTAATGTATATTATTATCATCTGTTTCAGCCTCTATTTCAGTTCTATTGATATTTCCATTTCATTTTTTCACTTTTCACATCTCTGCGAGCCATAAATTTTATTGTAGAATTCTGTAGAAATTCTATAATTCATAGTTCATTTTTTTTCAGTGCACGTTTTATTTTGGCAAAAACATTAGTCATATTCATTGTAAATTTTAGACGCATTGCATTTGTAAACATTGATCATTTCTTAGAGGTGAACAATTTCAACAAGTGGTAAACAGCAGCACAATTCCATAAATCACAGATTATTACGAATAATAACCAAATTCATACTCTATTTGATTCAATTCGTCGACAATTTTGCAATTCTGATGTGTTTGAATGTCGGGCAAAACGATTAATTTCTCTTTTAAGTTGTGATGTTTATTTTAAATAATGTTTAGTTAAGCGGTTCCATTCATCATCACCGCCAAGCCCACCTGTCAATGTTTAAGAAGCTTAACAACTCCTTTAAACAATTTATCAATGCCCAATGAATTGCAATAAAATGTTCGATTTGTCATCTCTTGACATTAAGTAAAACACTTTTATTTTCAAAATGATCACAGGTTGGGCGAAATTGCGATCATCTTGAAATGTAACACTATATATTTTTTTAAATCGAGAAATCACCCGAGAAATGACGTTTCAAATGCATACCTTTTATTTATACACATAAATGCATGTAGTGGTAGTATTAGATGCATGTTTGTTTTAAGTTTTGGCATTTTTTGGACAATTCACCTACTGAGCAGTTTGGTTTAAAGCATTTAAAAAGAGTAAAAAAAATATTTAAAATTCGTTATCACTTTTTGTAGACTATGCAAAATTCAAATTAATTAACCACTTTATTTTGGTGTTCACAGAAAATTGAAATTATATTCAAAATTCTTAAAAAAAAAACATTTCTCTTCATTATTCTAAAAAATGACATCTGGTTTCGGCACATCACAACAGAAATCCGTACATCATACATTTAATTTGACAGCGATTTCTAATAGAAACTTTCTATATTCAAATCGAAATTTATTTTTGGAATTTTATTCAATTAAATTTAAATTTCTTTTTATCGCATGTGTATTGTCGATGAATTGTTACATGCATAAATAGATGTGTATGAAGAAAGTGAAGCCGATTTGATGTCAGAACGAAACAATAATAACGATATGTATCGATTTATAAATTCTCGATCGCCCGAAGTTAAAGGAATGAAAACCGATAGAAAACTCTCAAGTGGGTATTTTGTCTGCTATATATGTGTAGTCTTTATGTATAAAATGCACCAAAATGTTATTTGTAATTTTTTTTTGCATCCTTTTCTTTTTTTTCTTTTCTCTTTATTATTATCCGCCATCCATCCTGTTTGCACGACCACCATCCATTTTTTTTTTTTCATTTTTGCATCGTTATTTAATTTAAATGGATTTGAAATGTTTATTTTGTGTTTGTTTCTTGCTCTATCATTATTATATTTGTATATATTTTGTGGTGAATGCGGCACGTTTTATATCATAATTCACGAATATATTTATATTTGTCGTTTGTTGTTGCCATTGCCTGATGTTAATGAAATTATGTCCGCGTTTGTCATAAATAACTTTATGAAAAAATAAGATGGATCAACCAATTCTGATTGGTATGTTGAAGCCACCGGTAGACGACGTAGTTCAGGTAAACCATCAATTTTGCATGGAAATGGTTTTTTTTGGTATCTCCTTTTATCTTTGTCTTTTAATTTGCATGTTAACATTTTTTGTGTAGTTAATTTGCGTATTATTTTTTTTATATTTTTTTCGACTGACACCAACAACTATGTGATTAATTCGATTGTTGACAATTGAAACTAACACATTTCGACTAAAATAAGTAAATAATGGGGAAAAACGCATGGGAATCGGGATACAAAAAATATTGACTAAAATCTACAGCTCTAAGATTTACACTCCCGGCTAATTAGGATATTCAAACAACTATCCAACTTAAAAAAAGAACTAAATCTCTAATATACTTATCAATATGCTCTAAGTGGAAGATACAAATATTTTAAGCAATGAATACATTTCTTAGATCAAGGTGTGGTGTTGACAACAGATACCGATCAATTTATAATCGGGCAGCGCGTATTTGTAGGCGGACATAGACCTGGTCAAATTGCTTTCATCGGAGAAACACACTTTGCAGCCGGTGATTGGGCTGGCATTGTTTTGGATGATGCAAGCGGAAAAAATGATGGTTGTGTTTCAGGGAAAAGATACTTTCAATGCGAACCAAAACGCGGTATTTTCTCCCGTCTAACACGTCTCACACTGGAACCATTGGGTGACATTACAAGCTATTCGCCAACAAATTCGATGAATACAAGCATTCGATCAATTTCATCACCACCACGTTCGGGAACCGTCAGTCCAACACGCAGCGTTTCCAGCTACGTTGGCAAATCACCTGCAAGTTAGTGAATACGAGAAACGAAAATCTGCAACATTGAACTGAAATCCATTGAATTTATTTTTATAGAAACAAATTTAAGCGTTGGTGATCGTGTAATTGTATCATCGGGCATGGGAAGTCGTGCCGGAATTCTACAATACATTGGAGAAACCAGATTTGCGGCAGGAAATTGGTGTGGGGTTCAACTCGATGAACCGTCTGGCAAAAATGACGGAACAGTTGACGGTGTACAGTATGTTTGAAAATGAAATGTTTGCTGGAGAGAATCGTTGTTTTATGTAGGATTCGTTTTGAATATTTTTTTTTCAGGTATTTCTCTTGTCCTTCCAACTACGGTATTTTTGTTCCATTGGCAAAAGTATCATTGTCACCATTGTCACGCAAGTCACGTATGTCGCGTGCCGGTTCAAAGGAATCACTTAATTCGATCGGCACCATGGGCAGTATTACATCAACAAATACATCACGCTTGCGAATGAGCGCACAGGTACCGCTCACGACCACCACTTATCACGTTGTCTACAGCACATACTAAACGCAGCAATTATTATCGAACATAATACGCGTGTATAATTTTGCGTTGTGTCTGTGTCATTTTATTGTATATTTCAGATTTATATATATACTTTTTTTTAACCAATTTTTGAATGTTTTCACAAATAATCGAAACTAATCGAATGAATATCCCAATTTTTATTTCATTTTAATTTCACCAAAATTACAACATTTGAAATGAACTTAAATTTCCCCGCGAATGAAACCCAAATGTAATAACACAATGCATCTTTTAGCGTTTATCGTCTGCAGCTAAACCTCCGGCTAGTACGCCGAAGAATACTTTTTCACTGCAGGTATGATAGATTCGTGTTTGCGGTTACATAAACATTTTGTATTCTTGTATTTTTTTTTTTTTGCGAAAAAAAAAAACATTTGCTTATGTTCGATGTGTTATGTATCTTTATGTGTTACTAACATTATTATAATCCGTTTTTTAAAATAAATGGAAAATTCTGCTGGCTGTAGAATGATTCTATCCAAATCTAATTTAGTTGTAATTAGTGCCATGTAATAATAATAATATTTTAAATGGATTTATATTGTATAAGTGCTTGTTCAAAATAATCCAATGGAATTTTTTTTATGCAAATAAACAAGAAAAAAAAAACAGAACAAAAAATTGCTGTAACGGAAACTTTACGCAATCTTATCGATTGAAATATTTGCATATATTCCTAGTTTATAGAAAATACCTATTCATAAGAACTGTAAATATTTGTGTAAATATCGAAAAAAAGGTAATGGGTAGAGAAATCTGTTATTTATTCCAGAAACAAAGTCGTTTGAAAGGCGTAAAAATTCAATTCAGTTGGTGTTGTGATCATTTGACACTTTCACACAACACTGAAAATTATCATCGTTTGGCTAATTGTTGGTAGTTCATTAAATTTTTTTTTCTCGTCCGTATCCACGCATGCTTGTTTGTATGATTTTTCTTCGAAGCATAACGAAGAAAAATCGTGTGTCCCCAAAAAAATCATAAGCATCAAATAACTTTGTGTCCCAGTTGTTTTATTTTGTATATGTCGTTCTTCTTTAAAGTCAAAATGACAGTATCACCCGACATTTCATGTACTTTCATCTTATTGATAAATCATTTATTTTGGTCAAGAACATTTCAAGACACACACACACACATACCTTGACCACGTGAATTAATATTTACTCGACCGAGTATAACAATACCCTTTCAATAACGACGAAGAAACAAGCCGCTCGAACGGACGCTCATTTGTACATTATTCATGAGACGGCGTGCTCTCTTCGATTAAAAAAAGTTATTTGTCGCTTTTTGGAAATATCGACAAAAACTTGTTTATTTTTCGGCAAAAACAACAATATAAAATGAGCGAAAGAAAAAAAAGTCCAAGATGTTTTGTTTATATTTTGTCATCCGATTCGTGTATGACTTGAGTCCATAAACAATGTTTATATTCCCTTCATAAATCGTAATTTAGACAATTTCATATATTTTGATACTTCAATGCGAAGTTTCCAAGTCAAAAACGTGGCTTTTTGTGTGTACTATACCAATTTGCGAATTATTATTGCTATAATGATCTCAGGACGGTAGATTCATCACTATTCTTTGATCATTATTTTCATGTATGGAAAGATCAAATCTTTTTTTTTTTCATATAATTTCATAAATGGAAAGTGTTGGAATCTTAATCGATTTGGACTGAGTCATTGCTGTAGTTCTATGAACGATTTTGGTGTCGGTTTGTCTGCATTTAAACGTAATTGGAATCGATCTCAATGCAAAACTGAAATTTATGATTCGATTAAAACTGTTACGTTTCATATTTACGGTGTCGAAGATGTGCACAAATTAAACGTTTATTTTATTTTGTACATTATAATAATTCACGCGCTTCAGAATGGTTCCTATGAAATCGTGTATTATAATTTTTATTATTGATCCATTAGTCTGTTTATGGTATCCATAAACGAAAAAAAAGAGACGTGACAAACAGAAACTGTGTAAGGCGTTCACATACACTGTTGTTGTTTTTTTTTTTTTTTTCATTCTGCGAAATGGCTCAGATCTTATGCGACACACGTCGCGTAAATTACTTTTCAAACAATCTCTAGTTAAATTACTTAATTACGGTTGCTTTATGCTTCCGACTTGTAAATATAATTCCAAATCGAAATGTGCAAATTGGTGACAGTATGCAAGTGCTTCTTAGATCATTGGCTAACTTCTCGTTCAAGTGATTGTTAGCAAAAAGAATCGAATGCGATCGAATAGTGTGGGCATTTTGATTGGCTCACTTTTAAATTAGTCTCAAGTAAGCGATCTAACGTAAAAGCCAGACAATTTTTCTTTAGTTCATTGTGTAGGGTTTGTCGCATGTATAAGTTCGTTTGCTTTGTGTGCACCCTATTCGATGACGACGATGTTGACGATGCTAGTTGGAAAATTGGTATTGCAATGTATAATAAAAATCATACGTCTAACTACGTTTCAATTGCCATATTAGTACATGATCAACTCAAGCGTGTTGAGGTAGGTTTAATTAGTTTCTCGTTCAGTAATTGTGCGTGGGCGCGCACCAAACACATCACTATCAATCTTGGCGCAGTTGAAATGTAGAGGTGGTTTTACTTCACGTCGTAAATATTTATATTCACCTGATTGAATCGATCTACGTGATTTTTGCCATCGCTTTTGTTTCTCAACAAAGTTATGATGCGGTTGGATGAAGTAACTCACAAGCTTACACGGAAACTTAAGTAGCTTTACTGGATTCGTCTAGCTGAGACATCTACAGGGAATTTTGTCTTAATTTTTTTTTAATTATATGCAAAAATATTACATCATAATTAAGAATGTAGGAGTTTTTTTTAAACAAGCTTTAGTACACCAAATCGTTGGGATTATATGAACAAGCACTCACTTCATTCATTAACATTTATTTAAAATTTCAAATGTTTACCAAGAATATTATTGCTAATCAAATTATTTTGCTATAGGATCTATTGCGAGAAAAGCAAAATCACATTGAACAGCTGATTTTAGAACGTGATTTGACACGACAACAAACCGAAAATGATACGATGGTGTTTCAAAAGGAAATTCGTCAGGTGAATTGAGAATATTGAATGATTTTTTAAAAATTGAAATATTCTTATTAAATGCTTTTGTGACGCTTTAAAAATGAAGAAATCATCATCGCCGGTGTCAAGAAAATCGGATAGCAGCGACAATGGTCAATGGGCTGACTTGATTCGTCGTCGCAACTCACGCCTAAATGAACTACGACGAGAATTTCAAGGATGGCAAGGGACACATGAACAACATTGCATACTTCATGATGTTCTACTGACGAAATAGATTGCATTTTTATACATTTTATTTTTAAACAAGTTTTGGGTTATGCGATTCATTAACCATCTCTTGTGCATTTAGTACCACATTTATTTCCTTTTTTCAAGTTAATTAATTAATTAAATGATTTTTAATAAGAATTCTTACTAAAAGATAATTTCATTTATCTATTTAAATTATGCTTATGTTTGTATAAATAAATGCATTTTTATTGATTTTTTTCTTATTTCATTGAGTTTTATTTTGATCGAACCAACTTTATATTGGATAATAAATTAATAAAAAAGGAATCTATGTGAAATTAAATCGATTTCACACCTTGTTTGTTTGGCTTAACCAAACAAATACCAAATTGTTCACCATCTGTGTTTCTGTTATTGAATCCTTATTCAGCATATCATATATTACGCCCGACAAACATTTCTTTCCAAACGTGTCCACTTCTTTATCCACAATTTTGGTATGAAGAGAATAAAAAGTAAATCCGTAAATGTCTTTGTATAAATAAAAATTGCTTTCTCTAAATGATTCGTTTTTTTTTTTGAATAAATATTTTACTATTTCTCTATTCGCTTTGATTTGTCTTCGTATCAATAACCTGTTTATTGTTTGTCGTTTATAGAACTTCATCATATTTCGCACACGTATATTGCGTATATTCCATGCAATGTCACTCAATAGAGGTTCTAATATCGTATTCAAAAAAGGTGCACAATCAATTTGTAATGTGATTTTGAATGATTCATTGACGATTTATATTCGATTTTATGAAACAGTTACTTTGCTAAATATATCTCACTCCATATTTTTGCTCGAATAAACAGATTTCTTTTGCAATGAAATAAAGTTGGTTCCATTTTTTAAATTAAAACTATGCATTTTAGTATTGTCATAGGCAAATAAACCATCGTGTTCTTCGTGCGGCTATCCGATTTTCTTAACACACAGAATTGACGTTTAGTCATTACTGAATCTCTGAAGTTCTTATAAAATTTATTCGATTTAATAAAAAGTTGTAATTTATCGTTCTAGCTTCGAGAACGAGTGGCTGCGTTGGAAAAACTATTGGAGGAAGAACGTCAAAAGTCCGAAGATCTTCAATTCAGAATCGATGAAGCAACAATTTGTGGAGGCAATGATACGGTACATTTTCCAACTTTTTTTTTTCGTTTGTAAATAATATTGAAAATGTTGATAAAGTAGCATTTCCATAAAATCAAAAATGTGTAACCTCATCAAAAAAAAAAAAAAAAATCAAATTCTTTTGAACTGGAATCAAATTGGTTAATCGTCAATTTCTTTTTCATCTTATCTTTATATTACATTACAACGCATATGCACTTTTTATTGTATTATGTTCGATCCATAAAATCCTCCATATATTTAGCAGAAAGACAAAATTCAATCAAAATCCAACAGTGTAAGTAGTGGTCAATATCAAAAATCGGAATGCATTGTGATTGTCCTCTATTTATATATTTATGTTGTGTCTGTCTGATTCTGTTTTTATTTCCAACAAATTAATTTTGATCTATTATTTATTTGCATGTTGAATTTTCCAACAATTTTCACGTTCAAAAAAGGAACATTTTTTTTTAAATAGTTTAAATTTTTGTCTTGCATATTAACAAGTCTCTCGATATTGAGCAGTTTTCTAATTTGATTTTTGACTGTAATTCACAGGCACAATTTGACGAATATAGAGAAAAGATCGCCGGACTGGAAAAACAACTGTTTGAAGCAAACGCCAATAATACGAGTGAGGAAGAAATCAATGCGCTTAAACTGAAATTCGAAGGTATTGCTTCTTTTTCACTTTTTCCACATTTATTACATTCTGATTTTCTTTTTCAGAATTAGAAAAACTGCGAAGTGAGCATAATCAAAAGTTACAGCAGATCACTGAACTACAGACTCAATGTGATAGTTTTTCAAAAAAGTGCGAGCAGCTGAAGCAAGATAAAGATGAAATCGAAAGATCATGTGAAATTAAAATCTCTAGTTTGGGTGTGAGTGAGACGTGCCTGCGTGAAGAGATTGATTTCTTGAGGCGACAAAATGATGACCTTAAGTCAGAGCTGATTGGCAAAGATACAGCCAAAGAAAAACAATATTTGGACATGAAACAAATCGAAAGTGATTTAAGAGATGAATTAACATCGGTGCAGAATCAATTGAAAGAGGCTTTGGTCAGTGGCGAAAAAGATATTGAAAAATTAGTCAATGCTAAAGATTCAGAGATTTTATCTCAACGGGAAAAAATCAATGCGCTTGAGAGTCAATATGCTGAAGCGTTGAAAGAAAAGGATCAAGCAGTATCAATGGAAAAAACGGCATTATCATCTGCCAATGATAAATATGCCGAAGTTTTCGGCGAATGGGAATTGTCCAAAAAGGCAATCGAAACTCATTTGGCCACCATTCAAAGTTTACAAACCGCTCTCGAAGGAAAGGTACAAAATATTGAACAACTAAATGCCGATATTAAATCAACTCAGGCGACTGTTGAATCAACTAAACAGGAAATTGTTGCCAAAGAGGAAATAATCGCTACATTGCAAACAACAAACAATGAAAAACAGACCAAACTAGATGCGCTTCAAGATAAACTGGACAAAACGAGTACTGAGTTGACACAAGTACGCGAAGTTCTTGTCGTTGAAAAAGATCAGAGCATTGAAAAACTGTCACAAGAAATGTCCGAATTGACACGACAGATTAACGAATTGACTGAATCAAAATCCAATGTTGAAAAAGAAGTCGAGGCCAAAGCAAAAGAGATTGATTTGGCTCAGGCAAAAACCACCGAACTACAAAACACGTTGGAAAGGGAGCGCAATCAATCGAACGACGAAAAATCAAAGGAAATTGAGAACTTGAGAACAACATTGACCACCAGTGAAAATACTAATAAAGATTTAACGGAGCAATTGACAAAACAGAAAAATACAATTGAATCCGGCGAAAAGGTGATAAAATCTTTGAATGAAAAATTATCAGAAGTGCAGACACAATACTCGAACAATGAGTCAACAATTGATGCGCTTAATTTGGAACTCAAAAAGCAAAATAATCAATTTGAAGAGTTGTCAAAGGCAAATTCTGATTTGAAGTCAAAAACAGTCGAATTACAGGCGTCTTTGGACAGTTCTCTTGAAGAGATCGACAAAAAGGAAAGGCTACTTAAAGACTTGAAGCAAAAGTGCGATCAGCTACAGATGCAAGTGGAACAAGGCACTACTGATACAGAAAAGAGCAAATCATCAATTGAAGAATTAAACTCAAAAATTCAATCACTTTCGAGTGAACTGTCCGGACAAGTCGAGAAATTGTCAAAGTTGGAGGTTGAATATGCCGATTTGGAGCGAAAACAAACAGTATCTGAAGAAAAATGCGAGCAATTATTGAGTGAAAAAACATCACTTCAACAAAACCTTGAAGCACTTCAAACCACATCGTCGGATACAAACACCGAAATTCGCCGCTTGGTTGATGATCTTACAGCCAAACAAGATGCATATGAAGCACTGATTGATTCGTCAAATGAAATTAAATTAAATCTCGAAAAATCGTTGCATGAGACACAACAAAACCTAGTTGCTCGCACTTCTCAATACGATAAACTGAAGAACGAAATGAATTCACTGACCGCGCAAAAGATCGATCGCGAAAATGAATTAAATTTGGAGTTGTCGAAAATTAAAGAGGCATATGAAAATGAAGCGGAATCATTGAAAAACGAGATCGATGCCCTGAAAATCTCATTCAGAGAGGAAAAAGAGCGATTGCATAATGAACATCAAGAGAGTGTAACACAATCAGATCGTCAAATAGCCGAACACAAGTCGACAATTGATAATTTGGAAAATACGATGAAAAATTTGCAAAAAGATATTTCCAATACGAATGTTGATCTTGAGCATAGAATCAATGAATTGACGGTGGCGGCGAATAGAGTGAACGAACTTGAATCGTCTTTAAGCGAACAAATCTCACAGGCCAAGCAAATTGAAGAGAATGCAAAACGCGTTGAAAATTCACTAAACGAAAAATTGGCAGCCAAAGATCAAGAGATTCAGTCGATAATGGCTCAAGTTCAAAATCTTGAAGAAAAATTGTCAAACGCTCAAAACGAAGCCGCTAAGGTTTCAGATGATAAATCAAATGCGGAGTCTGAACTGAAGACTCAAATTAAAACACTCGAAGAGGCTAATAAATCGATTTTGAAGGAAAAAGAAAAGGCTCTGGCTGACTACAATGAATTACAGTTGAAGTCCGAAGATCTACAGTTGAAATTTAATAAATTGAATGAAAGTTTCCGCGAAACAGAAGACGAACAAGTTGATTTGGTTGATAAAAATCTGGAATATCAAAGACAAATCGATGAATTACTTGAAACAGTAAAGGTAATGGATGAATTGAAACAAACGATTCAACAGCAGGAGAGCAACTTATCGAATGCCACATCACAGATTCAATCACTGGAAAAAGATCTGGCCGATAAAACAGCTTCATTCACAAGTGATGATGCTACCAAAGCCGAACAAATTAAACTATTAGAATCACAACTACGAGATGCCAATGAAAATTTCGAAAAGTATAAGAACGATGCGGAACAAGCCAAGACCGAAATTGAAAATCTTATCAAAACAACCGTAAACGAATCGAATGAAAAGGATAAAATCATTAAGTCACTTGAAGAAAAAGTTAGCCAATTGGCTCCATCCGTGAATTTATCGGATGACTTAAAGAATGAATTGAAAGATAAATCAGAAGAACTTAAGGTGAAAGAATCCAATATCAACGAGCTAGTTAAAACGGTTGATGACTTGAAGAAACAATGCGCCGAAAAGGATGCAAAATTAGAAAATGTTCTACAAGAAAAAGATTTGGAAACGAAACGCTCTTTAGAAGATATACAACAAAAGACACGAGAATTGGGTGAAGCACACAAAAAAATTGCTGCCGCTGCTACAGTTGAAGCAGACAATAAACAACTAAAAGATAAAATTGCCGAATTAATTGCTAATTTGGATCGTGTCCAAGTTGAAAATCAACAGAAAGTTAAAGAAATAACAGAGAACAGTTCAACACAAAATGCAGAGTTGACCGCACTTCGAACCGAACTTCAACAATTAGAAGAAACAAAGAAAAAAGAGATTGATGAATTAACATTGAAGCTATGGGATAGTGAAGCTAAAGTCCAAGAACAATCCAATAATATTGATAAATTGAATGAAAGTCAATCGAACGATGAAGAAACAGCACGAGCCTTGAAGACACGTGAAGCTGAATTGTTGCTGGCCAATAAAAAATTGGAAGGTGAAATAATTACATTGAAATCATCATTAAAGGAGAAGGAACGTTTACTTGCCGTCATTGAAACGTCCACATCACCAAAGCAACCAGAGTTTGTGACAGATGGTGAACCAGGTAACCTTTATTGAAAATTGAATGTTCAAATGCATTTTATAACAATTCGCTTGTTTTACCGTATCCAGGCGCTCAAATTACATTTTTGAATTCCATTATTGCCGATATGCAACGGAAAAATGAGGCTCTTAAAGAACAAATTCGATCAACCGAACTATTTAAGTAAGCATATATTTAAAATCGAAAATATAATAAAATCTATCAAATAAAAATCTATTATTTCCCAAGGAACCCAATATTCGATATTCCGGTGAAAAGAAAACCGGCGCCGCGTCTTTTCTGCGATATTTGCGATGAATTCGATAAGCATGATACAGAGGACTGTCCCGTTCAATCATCTGAATCTAGTCCGATGCACACCGCAGCTGGTAACTCGAAACCAACCAATAATGGAGAAATTAATGCCGACGGAACCAAAAAACGAGTATTGCCACCACCACGAAAGTACTGTGAAGTTTGTGAAGGTAAGTTCTATTCATTTTTCATCAATTTTTTCCATTGTAACCAACAGTGTTCATAAAATGTATTTGTATTCAATGAAATTTTTGTTTATATTTCAGTATTTGATCACGAGGTAGGCGAGTGCGATACCGAAGAGACGTATTAAACTACTTCATTACATTGAATACAAAAAGTTACCAATGATAATTCGACCTCTCAGCGTAATCTTTTATAGTATTAACGGGACGAATGAAATGAAAATTATTAATATAGTCTGTTTTGTTGAAGTCTTTAGTACAATATTTAAATTATTATTTTTAGTAAAAGTTGTTTCAAATTTGGATTTTTTCATGTTTTAATTTTAATCGAAAAATATGAAAATGTCTTTTTACAATGAAAAAAAAAAAAATTATAAGCGAGTGAATTTAAATCGAACGAAAATTTTGTCAAAGAAGAAATAGTTTCATTTTGTTCTACTATGTGACGTATTTCTCACGGTGTTTGGGTAAGTAGTCAAAACTGATTCTGAAACAATATGCCATCAGAAATGCTTGAGAAAGAAAGAAAGTCTGTCGTACCATTTGAACGTAAAATAGTGAAACCTGTTCAAATAAATGATTTGATTTAATTGATTAATTCGAATGCATGCAGTTAAAGTTTGTATAAAAATGTTCAAACAGGTTGTTATGCCTATTAAATACTGTTTAATATAAATGAATATTCTTAGAATAAACAATGGCTAAAATACTCTTATAAGTTATAACTGATCAGTGCGCGTCATGTTTGGTCTTTTTTTTCACTCATCTGCAATCGAATTAAATCGGAATAAAAAAGAGATTGCTGCACAAAGCAAAAGAGAATAAAAAAAATCAAAATCAGAGCAAATAAAATGTATACATAATAATATAAATCGTGATCAAATAGACGCAAACGAGGCAATTCTTTAACTGTTGTGTCCGAATGATGCGCGCGCACTGTTCAATTGTAGCTCCCATGCGGTTCTGATGTCCGCCCAATAAACAACACGTTTTATCTATCTATATGTATATGGTTATTGTGTATGAAAATTCATAAGGATTTTCGGTTGAGTGATTTTGTTTGCAAAGGGTTTTGTAACGGTGCGACGGCAGCAATAGAAGCCGCATAATCTAGACACACATATAACAATTGCCTTTTAAAATGTATTCCGAATAATGTACTGTTTTATAAATTACATGCATTTGGGATTGGAGGCGAACGAGCGTGCGCCTTCAATCTCTCCATTTCACTCTGTCTCACAATTGAAAATGTTGTACGCATTTAGTGTGCGCGATGGCAACGGCGATGCCAGTAACATGAATATTGGTTTTTCGCCGATACATATGCTTGCAATTAGTTTTTAAAATGGTTAATTTATGGTCATTATATTGTTGAATTCACCATAATGTGGGTGTATGTGTGTATGTACGCGTGTAAATCAGACAATAGAAACAGAACAATAGCCAACAAATACAGATGATGATCGTGATGACGGGGCCAATTCTCTCTTTTTAGCTCGCGGCTTTGATTGCGACTCTGGCGCATATATATTTAATCTGCGTTCGCGCTAGACAAAGATGTATACACAGTACACGATAATACGGCTTATTTTCGAAAAAAAAAAAAAAAAACATAGATCCGATGCGCATAGCACCATCGAGTTCATCACCATCGGCAGACACAATTGCCTACAGACAATACTAATATATCACGAAACAGTTTGAGCATCTCAACTGCGCAGAAAACAAATAATTCAGTTGAGCACCTGTTAGTCGCTCGAGTGATATTTTCGTTTCCAGTTTTATGCGTTTTTTTTTCATTTGCTCACCACACATTTCCATTTCTACGGCTTAAGTTTTCAATCAAAAATTTCGCAGTGCAGTGCAGTGTGCAATCTATTTGGAGGCACGTTAGCTGATTCGATAGAAATCAACGTCAAAATCACATCTATCAACATAATCAAATTTTAAAAAACTCAACACTCATTAAGCAAGCAGGAAAACAGATTGAAGAGATTTATTGATGTGCATAAGTAATAAACGGATTGAAAAACACGAACCAAAAATCATAATAATTCAGTGAAAACGCAATTTCATTAAATCAATTGCAATTACTGTTTTGGACAGTTAAATTTATTTCATCATTTAATTTTGTCACACTCTTTTTGATGTGACGTATGGACCATTTTTTTGTTTTTGTGATTTTTTTTTTATTAACTAAAGTGTCACTTATTTTAAGTTTCTTATTGAATGTTCACAACGATTTTTAATCATAACATTGGATATTACGCCCTGGAATTTTGGTAGAATCAACCTGTAAACATGGTAAATTTTCCATTAATTTTACGAAAAATTAAAACGAAAAATACATTTTTTTCAATTGGTTTAAATCGATTCATTTGTAAATTTCGATAATAGTGAGATTTTGCTGAGACAATGCCAATCAATTTCAAATCATAACACACAAGTTGTTTCTATGTCAATTCAGCACGTAAATGAAATGCTTATGCTTTTAATTTACAAAATATTTTCATATTAACCAAAACTAATGAAAAAATTTGCTATAAAATCATTCAGTGTGTAGAATTATAGTGATATAAACTTTCCAAGTGATTCACATTTCGTCTGCCAACAAATGGTCTCGGTGGCTAGTCTTTAAAACATTTCTATCTCTTTTCAGTTTTTAATTTATTCGCATTCATGCTGGTTATTGTTCATAAAAAGCAGTTCACATTTTTATGGAAGATATTTTTATTTTATATGATGGTGTTACGCTTATGTGCATTTGTTCTGTTTTGCCATGGAAATATGCTTTTATATGTCGATCGTGCGCGTGTGTGCATTTTTTGTCACTGTGAACACAATCTTTATTCACGACCGATGTTTTTCACGCTTGCATTCTCTTTGATAAATAATAATTAAATTGGTAAAATTGTTTTGAACTTCAAACAATAATGTCAACAAACTGCGACAACTTTAAACAAAAACAAACATAAAAATAATGATGGTTTAATCAACACCATTTCTTTTCAGTTATTTTTTTTTTTCATTTTGGTACCAAGGCGGGCGTAGATTAAACATCATAATTTTCATTCGATTATATTTGCGGAATTGAAATAGCTAGCATTTTTAATTTTCTAAGTGTAAATTAGATATATCAACAGATAGTGAATTTATTTGCATATTGTGCAATTTTTGTGTTTCGTGTGAATTATAACTGCTATTGAATCGCCGAGATCAGTTATGAATGGAAGAGAATTTCATGAGAAACATTTCATTCACCACAATTCAATTTCTTTGTTATTATTTGTTATATTACTTCGAGCGCATCTCTTTTTTTTCACATATTTTTTCTTCACGGAATTTGACACCAGACAGTCTCACATCTTTGTGCTATTCATCCATTTATTTATTACGTGGTTTTTTGGAGTTGAAACTACAAATTGCAATCGTGAGAAGAACTTTTACTTTCTTTTTGCATAATTTTCTTCTTTTCAAGACGGATGTTGAATTTTCCTCGAATTTTTTGATTTGTTGACAACGCTAATTACAGTAAATTATAAGCTAAGGTAATAAAAATGCTATACGAAAGTTTTATTTTGGATAAAAGTCTATTTTTGTTGGAAGAAATTAAAATTCAATAAACTATAATCAAATTGCTAGTTTCATTTTGAATATATATTTTTGATACTTTCTCGATGTTTTTTAAAAAGACAATTTAGAAAATTGGAGAATGTATCATTCGAAAAAAAAAAAATATTTTCATTGGATTTTCAATCGAATACTCTTCGCCGCAGAAACGAATCAGAAAAAAAATCATTATAATTGATAATAAAATAGCAAATATGTTTGTAGGTGAAATTGATCCATGAATATTAATTATAAAGCTTTCGCGTTGCGGCTTCGCACATTTACACTCCCTTTTTTGACTGCATCAATGGAATAAATCTTCTAAATAGAGATGCATCAGATCTTTTTCTCCCTCTACTCGCTGGCCAATAGCCTATTAATCTACTGCTAAAGTCAAGAAGAAATAAGAAAATTATGACGAAGAGAGAGAAGAAAAACGTGCATCGCATCGAATCATTTGAAAATGCAGAAATCAAGTACATATACGTTTAATGAGAGGCATGCCTGCATAGGCTGTAGCAAATGCGTGCAGCATTTTTAAATATAATGAATATGCAATTTACAAGGGAGATTCGCCATAAATATTGGAAATATTTCATCCCGGCGGCGATACGTGCTCTTTTTGATTGGACCAAATCAAATTGAAAATTTTCGAAAATTTTTCGCATACAAATTATATTATAAATTTGACACTTGATCATTCAATTCGCTTGTGCAGTTTTATAATTTATTGGTCATTATACAAACATTCCCAGAGAAAAGCATAGCCAAAGCATTATTTTGTTGATGCTTCGATGCGCACCACATTGAATGCACAAAACAAAAATAAACCATAATATATATAACATTGATAAAATTATTATTATAAAACAGAATGGTTTTCTTGAGCGAACGAAAACTTGAATGAAGATGAAGAAATAGTTTACCTACGATTGAATTGCAAATCGTTGAATCGCTCAAGAGTTTTGATTGAGTTAAATAGATGGCGAAAACTCATCCAACTTTATAAAATAAATATGATAAAAATTTAACGGCAACGTCGTTTCCTACATTATTTGCTGTTGTTTTGTGCTCATTTGAATTATAAAGTGCCTATCTTAAGCGTAAAGCACAGAATTGTTTGATGTTGTGATGTGTGTTTGTATAAACGAATGAATTAATTAAATCTATTTTCTTTGAAATATTCCGTGATTGCATGCACAAATCCGTCCGAATCGAGGTGCAACCAAAAAATCCATCGCACATTTCAGATCGCTTATCAAAATGTTTGTATGTAGATTTCATTTTTATCACAGATCTTGATGATAAGGAAAGCATTTTTGATGCTCAACTCGGAAAAAAATGTTTTAATTACTCTATTTGGCTCTAAAAAAAAGTGTACCGCAAATAGTGAGTGTGTGCCACACACACAACCAATGGCGTTTGATCATCGAGACGAAAAGAAAGAAAGAGATTAAAAGCTTTTCCGTAAAGAAATATATTTCCTACCGCTATATTTTAAAATCTATTTTGAAGATTCCATCATATTTTTCACTCATCAATAATTTCAACAAAGCAAACCATGTACGGAATTATTCGCTATACTTGTGTTCACAGCTTATTTTTCTCGATGGAAATGAATTAAATTGCACTTTTCCATTGAAAAATACTAATCGCAAATTGGTCCATTAGAAATTTAACTGGGATTGACGCCAAGAAAGTGCGATTCATTCAATTAATACACCAATGCAAAGAAAGTGGTATAAAATCGTCAATTGTTATGATTGTTTCATTGGATGGTCTTTCATTATGACTGTCTCAATACATTGAAAAAGAAAGTTGACGGTTTAAGTGCTTTGGGATTCAAAAACATTTATTAATTTTACTCACCAAAGTTGGTTGAAGCATTACAAAAAACCGCCGTCATCATTTCAAAACGTATAAAATTGTGCGTCAAGTATATCAATTGATTATTTGAAACGAAACAATCATTAAAAGCCGAACGAAAAAAAATACTGGTTTAAATGAAAGCAGTCACATTGTATGACATGGGTTGGCAATAAAACAAATTTTCGGGAGTATTGGAACAAAAAGTTTTGTAGACGAAGTCATAATTTGCATATAATTAAACTTTCAATTATAAATTAATTAAAAATGTATGGATCTTTTTTTTTGCTACCGTCTCTTCATTAAGTGATGTTGCCGACTTCAAGCGTCACTTGTTCTCGTGTGTATATTGATTTACATCATTTCGCACATTGAAAGTGTGTGACTAGAGTAGAATGGTTGATGCTATTTATGGTGGTTTTGTTTTATGCGATTGCAAAAATATTTCGTGATTAACGATTTTGATGCGTGCATCGTGCATACTGTCTGCCCGATTTTCTGCATTTTTGAACAAACCACACACTCCATAGTAAGATGTGTGTGCAATTCAAAAATCTTTCTGCGTTCGTATTGCGGCACGCAATCAATTCAATGTAAATTGAGTGATGAATTGGAAATGAGCAAACAAAATCTTCTCCATGCATCACGTTTTTTTTCACTTTGCTGCAATTGTGTGTGTGAGTTTCAGTCGAGTGCTAAATTCAAACCGCGATCTAAACTAAAAGCATATAAGCAAGTATGTGCACGACCAATTTATTCAATTACACGTTGTATTTATACAATTATTATGTTAATAATGGCGAATCTTCCATTTCTATCTGTTGGTGTGTTGAGTGCGTTTTTATTGTTGTTTCGCTCGCCACTTTTATATATTTCGTTAGTGATTTTTAAATTCTATTTATTGTGCTCACGCATTTTCTAGTGCATTTCAACCTGTTCAAACTTGCCGCAAATGATGATTTTAATGACCATATTTGTTCTTTCATGATTGTAACCATAGACACAAGAATACTCTCGTGTATGTGTGTGTGTTTTCTTTCTGTCTAGAAAGGTCTTTTCACAGAAACTAGCCACTGATCGTATGTGTGCATAATTGTCTATACCACTATGTAATCGATTGAATGAGCACGATGTTTATGTTTGCTTATGGATTTTTCGCACGTGCCAAAATCTTGTTCATTCTTGCCAATTTTCAATAGTTTCGATCATTTTTGTTTGGCTCGAGAAAAGCTGAATCAATTTTCTAGCATCCACAGACAATCAACAACCTCGTTTTTTTTTGCGTTCGACACGAAAAATATTGGCATTTGATTAATGGAGTTCCGCTTCTGTTTTCAATTCCATGCAAACATTCAACACCAATCTTTTATTGTTCAATTATGTCTATGTGCGGAAAAAAATGCGTAAAATCGTTACATTTGAAATTATGATTGGATTCATTAGATGAAAAAAAGAAACGTGAAATTGGTATCATGCAGCGACTCTTGTTCAAACTCTTGTTGAATCGACAGCAGAAAGATTTGGGTTAAAATCTGGCACTGGTCACAAATCGGGTCATTTCTCCATTTCAAATTCCATTTGATTGTTTTGCGGTTTTCAGCATCGCTGTCGGTGTTTCAAGGTTTTATTGCGTTGAGTGAATTGAAACACTAGAACGGCTAAGTTAATGATGGAATAGTACACACACACACACACCGTTACAGTACAAGTTCAGAACAATGAAACCAAAATAGTGAGCAAACTACAATGATACCACACAATAAAATGACAGAATAAACATGCGCTCAAGAGTCTAAACATTAAGAAATGACATACTGAAGTAAAATGTTCCATTTTGGCATATTCATTGCTAGCTTGACTGAGAAATTTGTGGTAAATAAGTTATTTTTTGGTTCTTCTATCGACCTGAATTGCATTGAATCCAATTCTGATCTGAACCATTGCGACTCATTCACGTTTATTATTATTTTATTATGTATTATGTTTTTATTCTTTTGTTAAGTTTTTGTTGTTGTTGTGGTGTTTGTAATTTTCTACCCGAGAAAAAGAGTGAAAAAGCGAGATAGAAAAAGATCAGTGTCATCACAATAACGTGAAAATCTCTCACACTGTGTATGCATCAGCTGTTTAACGTATGGCGATCACGTTCTTCGCATATTTTCTATTTGGTTTGTTTTTGTTTCATTTGATTTATTCATTGTGTTCTTTTTTCGACGATTTTTCCACGTATTTTCTTTGGCTGACGCGAAATAAACGAAAAGAATGGTAAATAGTAAAATTGAGAGACAAATAGACACAAAGAATAACTAACAAAACGAAAAAATTGTGGAATTAGTGCAAAAAAAAAGTTTAATTTTGTCGTTGTGTATATGGAGTTTTTTTTCTTCTTTTTTTATTATTTCTGTTGACTGTTGATTCGAATTCAAATGTGTGTTTGTTGTTTATTGTACCTTTTTATGTCCGATGTAAGCATGGTTAGAGTGAAGCAACTCAAAAATATTCGTGTATAGTTGGTTTTATTCAATGTTCTTCGGCTTGTAATGAGGCAAATTATTTTCTCTTTTCTTTGATTCAACGTCTCATTTTTGTCTTTCTCTCTCTCTCTCTTTCCTCCTATCATTTCCATTGTGTTCGTTGCTTACTTTCTTTCACTCATTGCCAGCACATTGCTTACAACACCACAACAACTGCGAGACCGCAAGATTATATTAAATTGCGGCATTCGTTTTGCCCGTTGCTATTGAGTGGCATCAGTTCATCATCGACGCTACTGCATTAAACACATACAATTAATTCACCAGTGCGCGGCTCGCGAAACACACTGCAATTTTCATACCTTATTGTCCATTCAATTTTCTTCACTTGTTCGGTGTGTTCAAACGCTTTATTTTTCTCTTTAATCAGTTTTATACACGCACAATTCCGTCGATTTATCTATTTATTACTATATCGAACAAGTTTTCGTGCAAAAACCGTTTTTGTTTTGCTCATTGATAATCACTGTGATTTACTGTTTTAGTGTTACATTTGGTGTATACTCTTGTTTTTGCGCGAGTTTTTATTTTTCTTTCTCTCTCTTTTTTCATCAATCGCTAATCATTTGAATAAAATTAGACTGCGATAAAAACAAATTGTTTTCGCCACTGTTCAACTAGAAAAACTGGAAAAAATCAATCGATCGTTTTCTAAACGAAGTGCGTTCATTTCAGTGTATCCATTCAAGTCATTCGTAACATCGTGTAGTTTTATCCAGTGGCCAACCAGTTCACAAGTGGATTTCTCGTGGTTGTGTCAACAGAAAGTGAGAGTGTTGAATGCATTTTCCATTTTTTTTGTGCGTCACAGTTTAAAAAAAATTGCGAAGAAATTGCACACCAGCCACTGTGTCAATTCAGACAGAAAAACAAAAGTTCGTCGCATTTTTTGGATTACGGAAAAATTTCGACGAAATGCAAGTGCTGGAACTTAACACGAAAGACTATGTAATTACATAATTAATTTCTATTTCAGTTCTAAATTTGGAAGCGAAATTTAAATTCGACTATACCATTTTCTTGAATGTGATCTTATTTTGCTCGAGTATCATACGCCATCATGTTTTTCGATTTCGAATTATTTGATTGTTCATTGTGTACATCAACAACATAGTCAATGACAATTTCCGTGAGAAACTGATGCTTGTAGCATGATTTGTTCACTGCAATGCATTTTGATTTCGCGATGCTTCACTAATTATTTGTCGACATACCATACAAAACAAAAGAATTGCACACATCAATGTGATGATAGTCATTGTACCGTGAAATTGATCACTGACAAAAAGCGGCAACAGAAACAACAATACAAAACTCATGGAATAAAAGCGCAATAAACTTAAATCGAATTTGGTTAAACCATATGCAAAACCATACCTCCGTTAACTACGATTAAAGATCAAATTGTTGAATATACATTGTTTCTGTTGAAAACAATTTATCGTACAGGTTTTGAGCGTTTCAACAAGAATATAGGTAGAGTCATAAAAGGCCCAATAAATTGATCTGAATGGCTTTGATTTGAGCAGATTCAATAGTTTCACTTCAATTATTCTGAATTGAATGTTCGATGGAAATCGATTTGTTGCCGCAAGTGAAAAGTCGCAAGATTTTATCCAACAATTTGATTTGTGTAGTTCATATAGCCGCATTGGAAATATACATTCAACGATGAATAACGTAAAAAAGAGAAAATTTGAATCCCGTAAGATGACAATTTTGTTTCGTTTCAATTTGATCGATAGCCGCACGACCAAAGCAAAAAAATAGGAAAAAAAGGTCATTTGATACACTGGGAACATATTGAATGACCAAAACGGTGTAATAAAAAGACTGAAGAAACCACGAACTCAATTTGCATATTGTGGTCTTTGCTGTTTAAACTAAAACATGATTTTTCAAATTGCAATTGTGGTTTGCTATGTTGTTGGCTATATCGATTGGATAAAAATTTAACTCAACTATTTCCGTCGATATCTATGCCTTTTTTATTGCGTTTGATATACTTTCGATTAAATTCGTTTTTATACTTGCAAATGATCTGGAAACAAGTCAATTGAAATTCAATGTGCATGTGGTGTTTGCGTGCAATCAAGATGCATATCACAAACACGATTTGAACAAATCGATTTTCTATTTATCCAAGCGATTCTCTTTTCACCCAAAAAAAATTCATAAACAACTCAATTTAATTTTTGTGTTTTTTTTTTATTCGTTGAGATCGTTCATATATAATCAATCAAAAACGTAATAAATTTTGTTTTCTTTTGCATAATATTTAGGATGGACTGAAAAGCGTCAGTGATGGCGTGATTGATGCCGCATTTCGAAAAGTGCGCAAAAATAGCATTGGATTTCATATCTGGAAAGTAGAGGTAATTTATACTGTTAATGGTACGAAAATGAGTGAAAAAAAAACAAGACATAACACAAATTTGTTTTCATCCCCGAACATCATGTAGAATAATCGCGTAGAAGCATTGCCAAAGGAAAAGTTTGGCATTTTTTACGATGATTGCACGTATATAATTTATGCGTCAACGATAAAAGGCAACATTGTCAATCAATACACAATCGTAAGTAAATCGAATGCACAATTTAATTGCAGGTTTCTTTTTGCGTGCTTACTTCAGTTGTCTGTGCAGATTGACAGCAACTCTTATATTCATTTATATTATTTTACTATTGCAGAGCCGTGAAATTCGACCGAATACAAATGTTTTGTATGGTTTCATCCATTTTTGGTTGGGTTCAAACACCACATCAGACAAGTCCGGCAATGTTGCGTACAAAGTCATTGAACTTGACAATCATTTGGAGAATATCGCGTGCCAGTATCGAGAAACTCAAGAGCATGAAAGTGCACGTTTTATGTCATATTTCAAAGATGGAATTATGTAAGCGCCCGATTGAACTTGATCGAACCAAATATAACTCACTTTATATATATACGAGCCTCTATGTGTATATTAGACTTGACATTAGTTGTTAATTAGTGCATTACTCTTTTCTTTTTCTTCATTTTAATCTTCTTTTCGTTTTTTTTTTCACCCGTCGTCATCGTCGCCATCGTCATCACAGCGTGTACTCGCATCATGCACAATTCGAATCAAAGGCGCAATTATTTCAAGTAAAAGATAAAAAATGTCCGCGTTGTATCCAACGATCACCGATTAACTGGTCACATTTTAAGAGCAACTATGTTATGATTTTGAAAACACCAAAATATCTATTCGTCTGGATTGGACGGACGAGTAGCCACAGTGAACGTTTGAATGCATTCAAATTGGCGGCAAAAATGCGTGCACAATGCAAACAAATGCCTGAAATGGTTGTCGTTGATGATGGTTACGAACAATCGATGACCGAAACAAAGAAAAAATCATGGAATGAATACCTATGTTTATCACAGCGTGTCGTTCATCCATCTGATGAGTTGCCAACGATACCGGTGCCAACATTTCGCTTGTACAAGTGTGGCTTTCATAATGGCAAATATCGCATCGAAGAAATTAAATCATCGATTTTACATCAACGCGATTTGAGTAGCAGTCGTGCATGTAAGACACAGGCATTGCCTCTTATTTATTATAAATTGTACTGAAAAAAATATTGCCGAATGCATACAGTCTTCTCAATAAAAAAAAACTAAATAACGTCAACATAAAAATTGGAATTTCCAAAGGCAGTAATTCTGGATTGCAACCAATATATTTATTAAAATAATTCATTATTATTATTTAGACATTATTGACTGTGGACCGCATTACGGTGCTTGGATTTGGGTTGGTAGATACTCCGATGCAAAGGATAAATCAGAAGCTATGAGAAATGCCAGAGGTTTTGTAAAAAAGGTATTGAAAAATCGATTGCAATTTCGGTTTTTTTTGCAAATGTTTTCTATATTTTATTAATTTTTAGAAATCCTATCCGGGTACAACACCCGTTGTTCGGGTAATTGAAGGCTATGAACCGTATGAGTTTGTACGATTCTTTCCATGGTGGCAAGATTTCGATGTGAATGGTAATCGTCCGGCAAATCTATTGGGCAAATATGATGCGATGTCATTGATTCAACGCCCACATCTAGCCGCCGAATCGCAATTAATTGATGACGGCCATGGTGAAATGGTAATTTATCGTGTCGGTGCAAAAGGCGACATCATCGAAATTCCGAAACGTAACAATATCGCATTGTTTTCCGGCGATTGTTATCTTATTCACTACATTGTAACGGTGAGCCTCGAACTCTTTCATTTCATTTGGTCGCTTTTGCATGAATTAACATTTAATTTCTTCTGTTTACTTTCAATTTTTTTTGTTTCGTTTTTTTTTTTTTGGTTTGTAGTCAATTGAAAACAATGGAAAAACTCTGGCTGAGTCGAATGTAAAAAATATTTTGTATCTTTGGACTGGTAAACAATGTTCGGTGGAAACTGCAGTCCAAGGTGAAAATTTGGCCGATGAATATGCTAAACATTTGCGTAATAAAGTGATGCAGGTTCGCGTGTATGAAAATATGGAACCACCGCATTTTCTGCAAGTATTTAAAGGCAGAATGATTGTGTTCAAAGGAAAATGCACCGATTTTGATTCACAAGGCAGCTGTTGTGTCTATCCCAATACGTATTTGCTAAAAGTTATGGGCAATGCAACGCATAATTCCAAAGCCTTTCAAGTGTCTAGTAAAATTGTTGATTTTACCGCATATGATTGCTTTATTATTCGCACGGCTGATGGAAGTAATTGGATTTGGTGTGGACCAAGCTCAACGGGAGACAATCGTGAAGTTGCAAAAAGCATTGGTTCATTGATTGGTGAATATAGTTTGATGATTGGCGGCAATGAATCGATTGAATTTTGGAAATATATTCCGGATTCGGTGCGTGTTAAATTAAAAAATGCCAACAATAATAAGCTCATTCGACATGATCCGGATTTAAAACATGCAATCGAAAAGAATTTCTATATTGATCGCTCAAAAGCGGAACTCTATGTGGTTACTGTTGAAGCAACGGGAAAAATTAAAACCAAACAAATTGTTTCATACACACAACAAGATTTATCATCGGAAGATATTTATCTATTGGATGCTCGTCTATTTGTTTACGTTTGGATTGGTTCGCTAAGGTGAATTTTTATATCAAATTCGATTTTCCTTTGAACTGTCCTTTTTTTAAATATAATTTTCGTCTTTTAGCCCAAAAATGGAGAAAATAAAATGCTGGCAAATTATTGATGAGTATTTGGCGAATTACCCAGTACCTCGAGATATTTCAACGCCACATGCAGTCATTTTACAGTCCCTTGAACCGTCCACATTCATTGGATACTTTGATCAGTGGGATAAGAAGTTTTGGGATGTAAGGAATTCGGCCAATGTTTTTTTTTTCTACAAATTAATAACAATTTTTGCATATAGTGTTTTTTTAATGTTATTCATTCGGGACCAAATTACATTTCAGACGCATCTCACGTACGATATGGAACGATTGAACATTGAAGCATTGTCAAATGGTCATATCACGATGCCAACAACAAAATTAAATAAATATGTTGATAATGACTTTGACAGTTACCCAAAGTATCCGGTTGAATTGTTGCGAAGCGAGGCCAGCCGATTACCCGACACCATCGATCCAAAAATGAAAGAATTGCACTTAACGCACGACGATTTTGTTTCCATATTTCACATGAACTACTCTGAATACTCAGGCTTGCCGAATTGGAAAAAGCAAGAATTGAAGAAGATTCAGAAACTATTTTAAATGTTGATGATAAGCTTTGCAATTCCAATAAATTTACTTAATGCTAAGAAATAAAAACAAACATGAAATGAATGCTAATTTGAACCGTCCACAACTACTTTTATTATTATTTTTTTTATAAATTTTGCATACAAATTAAATAGATTGTTTTGCCTAAAAATGTTATTGATTTTTTCTTTGCCTGTTTTACTTTACTTATTTAATACAAAATAATACAAATTAAAAATTTGAACCAATAATTGAATAATGCGAGATGATTGCACAATGAAACTAAAAAACCTATCAAAGTTTGTTTGAAATCGCCTAGTGGTGGGAACTGAAACTAACACAGCCGCATACTGTCATTGCACTCATATCTCCCACAGCTTATAGTATTACGTAGAGCAACACCTTCGTGTGCATCATTTGTTTTTGTTTCCAAAAAAAAAATTCAATTAAGTTTTGTTAGTTAATTTAAAATTCGTGTTGACGGTCCAGAGTCCGCGAATACAAATCCATCGATTGCTTTTTGCATTCAAATCAAACACGGTAAAATCAACGAGAAAGTTGTGTTCCAGTTTTGACAAAGTATCCATTGGGTGTTGGCTGTTGTGCATCATAACAAGTCCATACATATAGAAAAACGGAAATTCTGTGAAATTTGTGGCTACATCGATTTTCTTTGATTTGGAAAAATGATTGAAAAGTTTAATTTTAATGGAAATGTTAGTCCAATAACATGTCATGCATGGAATAAGGACCGAAGCCGTAAGTCATTGATGATTTAATAAAGTATATTTCAATTGCTGAGTCAGCAATAGTGTTGTTGTTGCTGCTACCGCTCAAAGAAAACATAACCAAAACGGTGCATCGTATAAAATGACTAATTTTTGTTTGACTCTGCAAGATTACTCATTCAAGCTATTAATTTTTAAATGAACTCTTCAATTTATTTTTGTTGTTTTTTTTTTTCGATTAGAAATTGCCATTTCGCCGAATAACAATGAGGTGCATATTTACAAGCGTGACGGATCGGATTGGAAATTACTTGATATATTGAAGCAACATGATTTACGTATTATGGGAATTGATTGGGCCCCAAACACCAATCGAATTGTAACATGTGGCATTGATCGTAATGCTTATGTTTGGACGCCAAATGAGGAAGGAAAGTTTAAACCAACTCTAGTGCTTTTACGAATAAATCGTGGTGCAACATGTGTGAAATGGTCGCCGCAAGAGAATAAAATTGCGGTCGGTTCCGGTGCACGGCTCATTTCGATTTGCTATTTTGAGTCGGAGAATGATTGGTGGGTGTCAAAGCACATAAAAAAACCGATTCGTTCAACAATTACATCGCTAGACTGGCATCCAAACAACGTTCTACTGGTGGCTGGTTCTACCGATTATAAGGCACGTGTTTTTTCGGCATATATCAAAGACATTGAAAGTCAACCGTCACCGACGCCATGGGGTAATCGAATGCCGCTCGGCCAACTTATGGCCGAATTCAAAAACAGCAATCAAGGTGGTGGGTGGGTACATGGCGTCAGTTTTTCAAACGATGGCAATAAAATCTGTTGGGTTGGACATGACAGTGCTATCAATATTGCCGATGCAACCAGTGGCAATGCTGTTGTTAAATTGAAAACGGAATTTTTACCATTTTTGAGTTGTCATTGGATTTCACCGACTTCGCTCGTTGTGGCTGGCCACAGTTGCATTCCAATCATTTATACAGTTGACCAAAACAATAAGATAACGCTGAAGGGAAAATTGGATCAGGCACAAAAGAAAGAGTCCACTGGTGTTTCGGCAATGAAAATCTTTCAATCGTTGGATCGCAATTTACGCACCGAAAATGATGATGCCAATTTGAATTCGATTCATCAAAATGCAATTGCATGCATCGCAATTTATGAAGGTGATAAAAATTCGGGCATACGCAAAATCAGCACATCAGGATTGGATGGTCAAGTTGTCATTTGGGACTTGACATCCAGTCTATCGCAATCGATGCAAGGACTGAGAATTTAAATTAATTATTCCATGCAAAAATGCTTACGTAAAAACAAAGCTTTAACTTTACAATTTTTTTTTTTCGTTAATTTTGTTCTGTTCATTTGCATAAGTTTTTTCCCACTGAAATAGAAGTTTTTTTTTGTGTTTAATTACATACACACTCGAAATTGAGATTTAAAAATGATTTTTTTTTATTTGTTAGATAAAGAAAAATTAAATATATTAATTAGCTCACAATTAAGGCATTGAAAAGAATATGCCTGTTCCTTTAAATACTTTCAATACATATTCAATACTATTAATTGTAAGTGAAATTGTTCATTATCTAAATAGTATTATTTGCAAAGGGAAATACATGATTTTCCTTAGATTTTCATTTATAAATAGCTTTGCCCATATGCATCCCGTCTACAATGAAGAAAATTGTCTTTTATTTGTCAAAAGAGAAATGTTTGTGTTTATCATTTGGTTAAAAAGTAAGTATATATTCTTAATCATGATCACCATTATTGGACACCAAAAAAATTCTCAAATAAAAATTATAATATCTTTTCCGAACTTCTACGCGATAATTTTACTGAAATGATTCAATACAGAATCCAAAATTCATTTTTCCTGTTGTGATTCTAATATGTCAATTAGATTCGAAGGGTGTTTTTTTATATTTACGTCGTTCGTTTTGCTAAAAAATTAATTTGATTTATTTTCAAGTAATTCAATCTTATTGTACTTAATGATATAGGTATTTTTGTTGTTTGATTTTTTTGTGCATTTTCTAATGTATAGTAAGAAAATATCAGCCGACGCTATACGCAAAACCGACTGGTACGTGCGCTCATACGTTTTTACATCTTTTACATCTAGTGACCATACGATTTTTCGACTGATTCGTTACTCTTTGTGCGTATCTTCGCACAGTCGAAATATCGTAAGGTAATAGATGTAAAAGATGTAGAAACGTATGAGCGCACGTACCAGTCGGTTTTGCGTATAGCGTCGTCTGATATTTTCTTTCTGTGTGGTTGTATGTCGAATTGAAATCCTTTCATGGATAAATGTTGATCTCTAATCGTCCAAAATAATGAGCTGCAAGATTTTGTCCTCTAATTTTTTTCGCTTCTCTTCTGAAACTCGGTCCATGCGCTGTGCTAAATAATTGAAAAAAGTATTCGACGGCTCCGTTTTAACTTTGGTTTCATTTTCGGTTTTAACAAAAGGTTCTGGGCGAGTATCCATTTTTTTCTAAATTAAAGAAAATTTATTTAAAAATGTTATTATTTGAAACGCATTGTGTATACAAAATGGTTTTTTCAATCCAACAGAAAAAGAATATAACTGACACTTACCGGCGTCAGTTTTGTTTCTTTGCGTTTCTTGTCAAGAGAATTTTTAACCAATTCATCGTCAGAAATTATCTGTCGAATTTTTTCAATGGCAACACGCGACTTATTTCAGAAGAAAGAAAAGGGAAAAAATGTTGATTGTTAGCATTGAAATATGCATACAAAATTCGAAAATTGAACCAAATAATAAATGATCTCATCAAAGTGCATCAAAGGCAGTTTTAAATTCAAATTATTTAGTTACAAAGATAAAGTGAGTCAATTGACTTACAGATGCTCGTTTTGTTCCTTTGCCTCTCATCGAACTAGACACATTAGCCGATTTCCCACCATGTAACTGTTGCAATATGCTTTCAATGTCAAGACACTATTTATTTCAGATTAAAAGGAAGAAGGTGTTGTTTTATAGCATTGGATTAAAATAAATTTCTTAAAAAATAATCAATTCGGTTTCAGACAGAAAATGCAAGTATCATTTTACTTACTGATATTTGTTTTGTTCCTTCTCTTCCCATCGAATGCGAAGCCGTAACCGTGTTCATGTTATTGAAACCACTTGAACCATCAACATCTTCGTCATCGGTATTAACATCTTCTTCTTGATTCAGTAGTCTTGATAATCCATTGCCACCGTACCGCTTTTCAACGAAATCCATAAAAAGTTCGTCGAGTGCTTCAACTTTGACAGTTTTCGGGCTTGATTTTGGTGCTGTAAAAACCGTGCACATTTTTGGAAAGCCAACTATCTTCTTCTGTACAGTTTCCTTTTTAGCATAACCAGTGCCGGTAAAGTCATCTTTTCGTAAAATAATCACATCTAGATCTGTGGCTATTTGCTTCAAATCGTTGTAAAATTCATCAACGATGAAAATGATGTCGCTGTTCTCATCGATTTCATATGTATCCAGGTGTTTGCGGCAGCAATTTTCCATCGAATGTGAATCCGATGTAATTTCTTGACGCATACAATATGCGCACTTCTTTAATCCAATGTGCTGGCCATGTGTTATTGCCATATGTATTAAAATCTGCACATACGGACCAATTAATTTACACAGTTTGCATCGCATCACCTTTGCTCCAATTATATCTTGAACATTTTGATTGGGTTTGTAGTTGTAGTACTTGAATGCTTCATAAGAATAAAACTGTAGCAATTGCTCCAAAAGTCTGGGATGACTTTTCATTTTTTCGTAAAGTCCTTTCTGGTCGACGTGAAAATCAATCACACACATAAGTTTCAAAGCCTTAATAGAATGTGTTTCTTTTGAGACATCTATTATTGGCCTAAAGTGCGATTTTTTCAAATGAGCGATGAGCTGGTCAATCATTTTGGTTTAACCTAAGAAAACACACGCAAAAAGTCAAGATGTAAAGTTAAAAAAAAAATAAAGTTAATAATGTGCAAAACGAAATTTCAATTCGCTTTTACTACCTTGCAAAGGATTTCCAGAAACACCGCAATTAAAATGCAATAGATTTGACTATTTTATGACAAAAATTTCAAATTATTACTAGAAAATTCTTTATAAAAACAGAAATTCAACTCTATCGACTTGATGCAAACGATGTTTTTCTGATCAATGATGCAAAGGAATGGCGGTTTCTACGAAGCTTGTGTCACAACTAGTACGCTGTGACAGAGTGAGACTGTGGAATATTAGTTTGAGACAGAATAACGCAAAATCTCAAGCAGTTGACAACGGTTTGTTTTAGGTGTGTGTGTGTTCTGAATGTATTCCAAGAAATGAAATGTATACGACACAAACACAAATGGAATGTTATACACTTTTGATTGTTTATTTTTGAAAATGTTTATTCCGAAGAACCGACATTTTGAACTTGAATATAAAAAAACAACAATTATGGTTTTCACAAAATTTTTCGCACAAAATTCACTGTTGAAAAAAAAAATTAAAAATGAAATTCACTGTTGAATTGCTATGAAAAGTCCTCCGAACTGTATAGATTTGTTTCGTTGATGTATCTTAATGTAATTTTTGACATCCCTATTGTACGTCGTTTGTGCTGAAATAATCCACATATAGTATATTAGAATTCTCTCTACGTCTTTATTTGATGATAATGACAGTGAGTTTATCGTTTCCGTACAGGACATTGTAGGTAGTCTTGACATTGGCCTGAGTATTTGTTTTTATTTATCAGGTTCTATATATAGCGACCAAAATAAAATCGAAATACAAAAATTTTTATTTGTTTTTTAGCATTTTGAAAATTGCGTTGATTTTAGTAAATCGTCTATATACTTAATCAAATTCCGATCAAAACGCATTTTTAAAGAAATCGATACCTTTTGCGCGAATTTTGATGTTGCACGAATTGGAATGCTGACAAGCGTTCTCGCTGTTATGAATTTAGTGTAAATGAAGTTGTTCAACGTCTGGCAGACTACCAGTGGTGGTATTGTTTTGTATATTGTGTTGGCATTTGTGCAGCATTTATCTCTCTGTTATCAATTTATTGTATTCCAATGAATTTAATCTCTTTTCCATTTCGCACACCGAATACTGTTCATCCGCATGCTTTTCAAGATAGGCATTCTATATAAATCGTAGTATGTTAACTCGACTTATAACGTACATTCAAGTTGTCATCAGATTCTCAGGAAAAACCTCGTTTCCAAGGGAAATAATTTTTCTGAACTAATTTTCAAAAAAGAAAAAAATATGTTATCTGTGGATGAGGCTGGGGGGTAAACACAAATTTATACTATACAAATCAAAAATTTTCAATAATTTTTCCAAACTCTCGACTGTTTTGAGTTCTTAGAGAGCACTCTGACTGGCTTTTCAGTGTCTCCACTCATTTGCATAACTTTCAATCTTGACTTTTAGTACGTAGAATTGGCTTATCCGTCATATAAATACCACCTTTCGAACTAATATGATTTCAAATCACATGCCCCTCTGCCAAATCGACAATTTTCAATATTTTTCTAAACTCTCGAGGGTTTTGAGTTCTTAGAGGGCACTCTCACTGGCTTCTCAGTGTCTCCACTTATTTGCATAACTTTCAATCTTGACTTTTAGTACCTAGTATTGGCTTAACCTTCATATAAATA